TATTTGATTTCATCTTTTTTCTCCATTAGCACCTGGAGTTTTTGAATTAATATGAAACTTGGGCATGCCTAATGAATATTAAACCCTAGCACACCAAATACAGGGCTGGGTTTTATGTATATAAAGTAAGTTAATTATGACCATTTGGGCTCAGATTTAAAAATTAGGTAATTTTTATGAAGTAGTAGGAGGTGCAAAGCTTATTTTGTGCAATTTTAAAAAACCCCAATGTAATTAGAACAAGCTGAGCATAAGTTACCTTAGATGCTACAAAGTAAGCTGGCAATTAACAAGAATGGGATCAGTGTGCACCCCCACTGCCTCCAGTACCTGTAAAAATTCTCATTTGTGCTTCTACATTTCAAAGAATGTTTTTTTCTATCCTGAGGCTTGGAGCATTCATCAAGACTTTGGAAGTGCTTCCTCTAGCTTTGGAGAGAGATGGAAATAAAGGAAACGAATTGCTAAAACAAGCAGAGACTAAAAATGATAAGTAATTTAATCAGAATGAGATCATCCTCTGCTCCCTTCTGAGGGTGATTGGTAAAAATGGTGTCATGTGTGGTAGCTCTGTCCATGGCTATTCCCGACCCCGACAGTCCTGCTCCTGTGTCAACTCCAGCAGGATTCAGGAGTGGTAGCTGGCTTGGGAAGATAAGTTGAAACATGTCACTTCTGTTTCTGCTTGTCCTGTTAGGAAAGCACTCCACCTGTGGGGAGCCACCCTGCCAGACCTCCCAGCCCTTGAACCTCAGGAGCCTAATCCAGTGGTCCTGCTCACTCTTGCCATTAGTAAAAGCAAACCAGCTGTGGGAACAAAGCCACAGTGCTGCCTCTTTACATCCATCTTGCTGTGAATAGAGCAAAAATTCTCTTAGTTGTTCTTGGCAAAGTTTTCAGAACTCAGCTCAATTTAAACTCCAACTTTCCCAAACTTATTCTTAACTTTAGGGCACTCTTTGATTTTATTCTTGGTCTCAACTCTCTTTACTTCATCTGTTTATCTTTTTAACCAACAAATCTCCAAGAAAGTTCTCTAAGTGGCCCCTAGGGATTCTCACTGAGTCCTTCTCAGTTTCCTGCTTGTCAAGGCCATTTTTAATCTGTGCCTGAGCCTCCCAAGTACATTTGAGCTGTTTCCCATTTTAGAGTTCCTGCCCAGAAGGCCACACTTATCTTCCCTCTCAGTGTTTTGAACTCTGTGTCCTGATAGTTCAGGACACAGACCTACCCATAAGAAACATTTCCTGTCTTATCAATGAAGAGGAGGTAGCTAATGGTGTCACTTTCTCAGTATTTAATTCAATCCCATAAAAGCAGTTACTTATTGTACTTTTACTTCAATCCAAGGACTTGGCTATAAGGACTTCACTGAATACTGTGGGAAGCAGACCATTAGACCAATAATTTCAACACAGTGGGATAAATGAATCAAAAGAGATGGGTGCAATAGATAACAGTAGGACAAAGGCAAGAATGTGTTCTTTCTGAGAAAAATCACACACACAACAAAATCGGAGATGAATAAAAGTCAATTAGGCCAACGTAAAGATGGAAGGACCACCAGAGAGAAGGAAGAGCATCTGTGAAATCCTGTAGGCGTAAAATGACAGAGAACATCATCACCATTTCACCTTGTTAAAAGTTGGAGACATAATTGTCATCCTTCTTAATTTTTTTTGTCCTTTTTGGTTTCTAAAACTATACATATTAGTTTCAAAGGGTAAAATTACACAGAAAGGTATGACCTAGAAAGGTAAAGTCCTCTATAATCCTGACCTTCAAAGACACCCTGTAGTGTGTCCGGTACTTATGTGCCTCTATCTTTTTTTCTTATATAGATACCAAACCAAAACCATTCTTATTCTTTTGCAACCTGTTTCTAAGTTAGTATACATAATTGAACATTTTATACTACATCCTCATCTTTTGGATGTTTAGGATGCCAATATCTGGATTGTGTGGAAGTATAGAATAGTCATTAAACCTGGCCTCCCTGAAGTCAGATGAATTCAGTCATCCCACTTGGTGCATGACTTGGGTAAGTCACTCCATTAAGTCACTCAGATTTTGTGTGTACATTGTAAAGATCAAAATAATAATACATATCTACCTTAAATGATTGCTGTTATTATTTTAAAAGCACTTAGAATAGTGCTTGGGATGGTAAATACTCTCAATGTGAAAGGGTAAAGTTTCTAAGCTGGAAAGCTTGAATGTAAAAGATTAGGTATTATTAAGTTCTTCTGTTACACCCAGATTCCTGAGATAGTTAAGACAACGCCCTACTGGCCATTTAGCAGTTCATCACAGGGCCCAAACCAATCAGTTTGAATGTGTAACCCGCTTAGGAATGACCAATCACCCCCGCCGACCTGTTCCCGCCAATGAATGTGCTAATCACGTCTCAGAGTTGTTGTTCAATTTTCCAGTGCCTCATGATGATTTGTTCTGATGTATGCAAAGCCCACCGCCCTCTCCAGAAAGTGTACTTAAGCTCTGCTTGACCTCTGTTCTGGGCTCCGGGCTGTTCTCCCTTCTTGAGTGAGCACGGGGCCCCAGCGCGCTGGAATGGATCCCCAATAAATTCCCTTTTGCCAATTGCATGGAGCCAGTCTCTTGTGTGGTCTCTTTCTCCGACACTCCGCCGGACCCTTACAAATGGAGTTCATATTACTATAAGCTATTTAATCAGGTCCCTATTGATGATTTTTTTTTTTTTGCACTACATGGCTTACTAAAGAAACTTCTAAGACAAGTTTTGTATTGCCCTTAGTCCCTATTGCATTTTGGTTCTTGTTTTTTTACTAACTTAGCATCCAAAATTTATTTTATGAGTACTTAATAAAGGTATAATTAGTGTTGTCAACTCCCTTGGAGGCAGCACAAAACATGGTAGGTAGAGTCCAGGGGAGTAACTTCCAGGCCAGACCCAAAGGGAATCCATTGCAGATTTTCTTTCTGAAGAGAGGTCTTGTCAGGAAGTGGGATGCTGAGTATAGATGGGCAAAGTTCGCAGGAAGATTAAGATCTGAGAGATCAAGCTGGAGGCCTGGACAGAAGCCAGAGAGAGAGTGTGGGCCAGAAACCTAAGGGCAGAGACAAATGTATAGATAAAGAACTAAAAAAAAAAAATTAAGAAAGGGTATGATATCTTTCTTTGGTGAGGTATTTCACTACAGGTACCTGTGGGTACCAATAAGGTTCTGTTAATATCAATTTCAAAGTCACAAGGCTCTTTGGCCTTCTTCACACAGAACTCAGCGGCCTCCTCCCAATGCCTCCTTGAGCCTTCCTGGGAGGCAGGGAGCTGGGGGAGCACTCTCATGAACCAGGATACATTTACTCAAGTTGATCTGCCCTTGACTCCCTTCAAGGTGACTCGTCAGCCTCAGCAGAGCTGCTGGAGAAGAGTCATGCTCTGCCGCTGCCTTCCACCCTCCCACTCTGGGAGGGGTTTTTTGTGGTCTGGGGTAGGGTCTATGTAGGATACATTGTGAGGTTTATGTCTAAAGCTTCCCTGTTACTTCTCTCCTTAATTCCAATTTCTGCTGATATTCAAAGCCTGTTTCCCCAATCTGGGTGGGGGAAGGGAGAGAAAGACAGAGCAGCCACACCCTCTGTCTTCCTGCTTATCTCTTCAGTCACTCAAGAACAAATATTGACGAGTCATTGAGGTAGGTTGAATGTAAACTAATCTCCATTCTTGCCCCGTCTCTGTATCTATGCCCTTGCAATGAGACATTCAGTTCTACCTCCTTGAATCTGAGCTGACCTCTGGTGGTTTCGGTCCCTTGGACATAGCTAACATAATAGGCATCAATTTCAGTTCTGCACTTCGGGGGACCTTGAACTCTTCCATTCAATCTCTGGGCTCCTCTATCTTGCCCTGGGAACAGCCAGGGTTAGGCTGATGAAAGCAGGTTTAGGCCGGCTACTGTGGGTCAGCCCACGGCCAACCCCCAGCCACCCACCCACCCAGTAGTGCCCAGGAAGCTGCTCTGTCCAGCCCTTCCATGATCAGCAAAACTGTGAAGGTGCAGCATGAGTGAGCCCAGAGGAGAGCCGAAGAATCACCAGTTAACTCACAAATTTGTGAATAAATAAATCCTGTGTCATTTGAAGCTGCTGGCCTTTAATTGTTAAGTGGTATTATTGTGACAAGACATAAATGATATACCACTCTTTTTCTGACCTCTTTTTCAAACATCCCTCTGAGAAACTGAATAATCATCAATCTGCGGTAAGGTGGACATATTCTAAATTAGCAGGTGTCCAGAGGTAAAGCCAGTTAGCCTCAGAGAAAGGTGCAAGTGAGGAAAAAGGGTGTAGAAATGCCCTACAGGTCTGCATCTGGCCAAGAAGATCACAGTAAGCTTGGTGTGATGGCATTTCTTACAGAAACTGGCAAAGAAGGCTGTTAGGGTTTAGATATGAGGTGTCCCTCAAAAGCTCATGTGTGAGACATTGCAGGAACATTTAGAGGTGAATGTGAGAGTTGTGACCTACTTAATGGATTATTCTACTGATATGGGTTGACTGGGCAGTGATTATAGGCAGGTGGGGAGTGGCTGTGTGGTAGAGATTTTTTTCAGAACAAAGGAGAAGATAATGGGGCACCATCAGTATCAAAGTGAGCCTTCCACAACTCAGTTGTAACATCGTTTCTACTCTGCAGTAGAGAAATAGAATGCCCAACCAGGAATGTATTACTTTATATGGGAGACAAAGAACTAGTATATAAAAGGAAACTAACAAAAGTATATAAAAGGCTCAGCCTTTGGATGAGAATCCGCTGAACCAGTGCTGGCAGAAAAAAAATAAAAAGAAGAAAATACTGCTTCCTGCTGATAGTTCTGGTCTCGTGTCTCAGTTCGAGAATCTCACAACAACTGGAGGAGGTAGGTCACTGTGGGGGGGCGGTGCCTTTGAGGTTTATATTTTGTCCTTGATGAGCAGAGTTCTGTCTGCTTCCCTGTTGCAGTGTCCTGCGATGCCCTCCTCCATCCCGCCCTGCCACCACCATGTCCTGCCTCTCCTCAGGCCCAGAGCTATGGAATTGGCCGACCATGGACTGATCCTCTGAAACTGTAAGCCCAAATAAGCTTTTCCTCCTCTTACTTGTTCTTGTTGGGTCTTTTGGTCACAGCCACAAAATCATTGACTAAAAAGAGACTGAGCTCCCCATTTTGACTGAGCTGGAACGAAACTGAGACAAAGAGCAGCAAGAAAAAAATGGGGGCAGGAATCACGGAGAAGACCTTGAGCTAGCGGTCCCAGGACTCCAAGCTCAGGCTCCAGAAAAAGAAAATCTCTGAGGTCAGTGAAGCTCTTCAGTGGGAATGTGAGTCACTTATAATCAGACTAAATGCCTTTCATTATGCTGAGATGCTTTGTTAATTGCAAATTGGATGATTTTGAACTCTGAAGTATTTCACTGCACTATAAATAGAACTGCTTTAGTAAAGGCTAGGGTCTGCCCTTACTGCCTGCAAGTCAGAGCAAAGCTACCCACAGCCTATACATAGCTGTCACTATTCCTTGGCCACTAGTTGGTAATCTAAGGATTGATAATTGAGACCACACGTGTTGAGAAAGCAATTAAAAAAAAAATAAGCTCCTGATGGATGATTCCTAGTTCTCTCCATCCTTTTGAGCAATGGAGAATGAGGCAGGCAGATCTGTCTTACATTGATAGCGTAGCCACTTGGTCCTATTGTGCTGGCTGGGTTGAGTTTGACCCTGAGAGACAGTTCATGTATGGCCCCCATTCCTGATCATCATTTTGGGACATTTTATAATCACAGTTCTTTTGGCATAGGTTCTACTTGTTTGGTACCTAGCCTTGTGCTGAGCAGTGGTATGTTGGCTTGGTGTGGGATGGAGCTTTGGGCTTCAGGTTGCTGGTTTACTTACTGGAAGGTATGTTTACAGACAAGCTGTTTGCTATCTCTAGAAATTAACTAGTACTGACAGAAGCAGTATTTGTTTGGGTCTACAGGATGTAAAATGTCAAAGTAGCATGAAATATGTTATATAAGATGTCCCCCAAAACCTTATGTGTGAGACAATATTAAAAAGTTTAGTGATGAAATGATTGGATTATGATGATCTTGACCAAATCAGTACATTGATCCCCTGATAGAGACTAACTGGGTGGTAACTGTAGGCAGCTAGGCTGTCACTAGTGGAAGTGGGTCATTGGGGGCATGCCTTTGGGGTTTTATTTTTTATCTGTGGTGAAAGGAGCTGTCCCTCTCTTCCCCTGGCCCCTTTCTCTCTCTCTCTCTCTCTCTCTCTCTCTCTCTCTCTCTCTCCTTCCTGGTGCCATGTTCCCAGCTGTTTTCCCCTGTCACACTCTTCCTCCATGATATTCTGCCTCAACTTGGGCACACAGCAATGGAGTCAGTCATCTCAGGACCAAGACCTCTAAAACCATGAGGGCTAAATAAACTTTTCCTCCTTAAATTTGTTCTTGTCAGGTCTACTAAAAGCTCACTAAAACAAATACAGAAAATTTTAAAACATAATTAATAGAGCTAGCTGAGATAAGTCCTGCTCCTCTGCACTGGGCACCAGGATTGTGGGTCCATTTTATAGCTCAGGCCTTCCTCCCCAGGGCTATACTCTCCAGGCCTCTGTGTCCCGCCCAGAGTGTTTGCAGATGTCATTCTCACTATCTTCCACGGGTCCTCTTGACCCACAGCAGTTCTTTGCTTTTTTCAGGAAACAAACTGGGTGAAAGTCCAGGGGCTGGGACTTCCTCCTTGGTGTGTTTGACAAGGACTGACGTATTCTAAGTCCTTTGAATCCCGGAAGTCCAGGACACACCCGGCTTCGATTGCACTGTCCAGAATGCTGGAGTGTAGGTAAAAGGACAAAAGGAAAAGCATTTCAACATGAGGGACCCACTGACAGATTGTTCGGTGAGTAGCTCAGTGGCAGTTTGTGCGCCTGTGTGTGTGTTGTGTGTGGGGGGTAGATTTCTCTACTCCTGGGTGCCAACTTCAGAAATTTGAGACGTTCAGCAAACAATGGGTTTAGATATTGGCTACAGCACAGAAGTCTGTGGTTTTTCTTTGGTTTGATTTTATTATTTTTTTTAAAGGCCTTTCTAAGAAATCTCAGTAATTGTCATCCTTCATTCTCATATTTGTGGAAGAAGTTTGAGTAAATATATAGCATCATATTTAGATCCAGATGGTGGCTGTTTGGAAAGCAGTCTTAAGATCAATGGTGCCAGCATCATGTATGCAGTCGATACAAAAACACACGGAATGTGTGCAGCCAATTTTTCACTTTGGGAATGGAATCAGGGAGGTGGGAGGTTTTGGCGTTTGCCTTCTGTGTGGCTTAGAGTTGGGGATCCCAAGTCCTTGCAGAAGGAAGACCGACCCTGCACCCTGTCAGCAGTGGTGCTTCTCAGACTGATTTACCAGCATGGTTGCTTCAGTCCTGAGAGGATTACCAAAAACACAGGTTTGGCCAAAAGCCCAAAGACATTATGAGGTCCTTAAGAGCAGTAGCAGATATGACGTCGGGGGACAAGAAGCGACTTAAGTAAAGGGAGGATGTATTTATTTAAAAAATAATCAAGGATTATCAGTGTCTTTGACCCAATAAATGCAATATAAATGATACTAAAAAGTTAAAACTGGTGGCATTGGAAGCAAGGGATTGTAGTCATCTTTCATGTATTTTGTTTAAAAGAAAATGAGGAGAGACATATCATAGGGTTTGTACTAAAGCCATAAAGAAAAGAATCACAGGAGGATTATTGGTTTTCTTCCACAAAATAAATAAGTTCAAGGATCAGAGGACCTAAATGAGATAAACTAATAAATGGCTAGTAAGATTAATAATGATAATGTAGTAGCCAGCTCTGCCTAATTTAGTTTTTAAATATGAAAATAAGACATTTTTAATTTAAAAACCTATTCCAACAGTATAGTTGCATAGAGATGTTAAAAGTGAAACTTTCCCCATTTTTTTTACCTCAGTCTGAATCTCCTCTCCATTGGTAATTATGGATAATTTTTCTAGAAGTCATTTATCATTTGTTTATTTTCTTCTCCATGGGTTTGCTCTCTCCCTAAACTGTTAAAATCTCTCGTGTCTCAGCATTGGTACCAGAGGATGTTTTGTATTGTACAAGGATGGTAGGGACAGAGATGATAAATGCAGGCAGAAATGTGGCACTAGCATCAAGTACGAAAGTTAATGCCCAGTGCCAAGAGGAGAATGTAATAGAAGAGAGGGTAACTGAGGCTAGGTTCTATCAAGTTTTTTTAATTTAATTTTTAAATTTTAATTTGTTATACATGATAGCAAAATGCATTACAATTCATATTACACATATAGAGCACAATATTTCATATCTTTGGTTGTTATACAGAGTCACACCATTCATGTCTTCCTACATGTATTTAGGGTAATGATGTCCATCTCATTCCACCATCTTTCCTACCCCCATGCCCCCTCCCCTCTCTTCCCTCTCCTTTGCCCTATCTAGAGTTCATCTAATACTCCCATGCCCACCCCCACCCCCACCCCTGCCCGGAGCCCTATTATGAATCAGCAGCCTTAAATCAGAGAAGACATTTGGCATTTGGTTTTTTGGGATTGGCTAACTTCACTTAGCATTATATTCTCCAACTCCTTCCATTTACCTGCAAATGCCATGCTTTTATTCTCTTTTAATGCTGAATAATATTCCGTTGTGTATGTATACCACATTTTCTTTATCCATTCATCTACTGAAGGGCTTCTAGGTTGGTTCTACTCTATCAAGTTTTTTAAAAGAAAAAGAAACTGGCTTCATTTTGGTGGGCGGTGATGGTCTTCAGGTCAGGACCTGGGAGAAATGTTTTCTTTTAAGCAGCTCTCAAGACATCCCTTGCCTTTGTGCCCATTTAAAGCTCCACTCCCTGGGGTCCTGAATAGTTCTTTGCCCTCTTCTGAGCCATTGTGCCAAGGACTCTTGTCCTTATCCACAACTCTGAAGGTCATCTCTGTGGGCCCATTGCCACCAAAAGTATCCGGGAGTCAAGAGGGGGCGGATATCCCTTCAGCCTAGGTTTCAAAACCCTCCAAAGGCAGAGCATATTTATTTATTTGCAATTGTTTCATCTTCATCAAGTGTTCGAGTTGATTTCCTGGTACAATTCCAGCTTGTACTTGGGGAACAATGCTCTGTGAAGATGAGGCCACGGTTTGGGAACATAATAAACAAGGGAACAGACTACTACAAATGGACACTTCATGAAATATTTACGTAGTTATAAAAGAACCCAAAAGTTTAACCACCTGCAAGATGCCCTATCCCATGAGTCCCTAGAGTTACACCGAACACAATTCATTGTCTTAGCTATAGTTCTTAACTTTGTGTACACTAGTGAATTCCTGTATGGATCTCAGTGGGCTACATGGACTTACATGGGGAAAAAAAAATCTGTATTTGTACTGTTTTCTAACTGAAATGTAGAATTGAATTTCCTTAAGTTCTAGATATAAGCAACAAACCTCAAAACTACTACCAGGGTCTGCAACTGTGTAACCAAAGTCACCGATATTTTTCTATAACATTACAGTTGTTGCAGCTATATTCTCAGCCTTGTTTGGAAATTTGGTAACTCTTTAGACTTGTTAATTTAGTATTCTAATAAAAAAGTGCATATATCACAATCTTAAAAAATGTTTTTATAAATCAATATAGTTTAGTTTTCTTTGTCATCCTGTTATTTTATTTTATGCATTTAAAAATATTATTCTGAGGGGCTGGGGATATAGCTCAGTTGGTAGAGTGCTTGCCTTGCATGCACAAGGCCCTGGATTCAATCCCTACCACCACACACACACACACACACACACACACACACACACACACACAAAATCAGCTTGAAAGAGCCAGGTCAGCATTTATTTTGAAATTATTGTCACCAGGGTAGTACAACGATTGACTAAATGCAGGGTAGGGCTTTTAACTGATCTTGAGAGTGTTAGAACTTATTTTAAAAAATTTTTTTAAAGTTCTGCTTTTTGAAAAGAAAAAGAATTGGCTCTGGGCCTTGATCCTCTGAGCTTAGCTTCTAAACCTAAAAATATGTCAAGTGAAATCATCTTCAAATCCATGTGCAAGGAAATAGGATCAAATTATCCCCAGACAACAAGCTGTAGCCCGCTTCTTGCTTCAGATGCACTAATATAGTTTCCAGGTAGGGCTGTCAAAGCAAGACTCTGGTCTCCACACAGGCAGCCTCTGTCCTGGGACCAGGCTGTCCCTCAGGTTGGTGACCGGGCTCAGATGCCAGCCTGAGCTGCCCATCTTGGCGGCTCAGCCTAGATCACTGGAGCTAACTCAAAAGCTGCTAGCGCATGGTCCATGGCTCCTGAGGGATTCTGATCCACCGCAGAGATAGAGAAGGAAGGTTGAGTTTAGCATGGCTGTCATGTGGCCCCTGGTAACCCCAGCATGCCGCAGTAGATGAGTAACATGCCGTTTCACATTTCTTAGGCCCCTGTTTTGTCATCTATAAAATAAGAGGAGTATATCGCATGCTCTTGATAGCCAACCACAGGGATTCCAAATATCACACAGATGGCTAATAAATTAGAGGGGTAGTGTTTTGAAATATTTCCCCCAATGAATCAGCATTCACATTTTGTGCCTGGCATGGGAAAGGCATCCAGAAAAAAAGCTTATTTAATTAAATGTAAGTGGAATATCACGGTTTCTTTAACACCAAAGATCAGCATTATCAACTGGCAAATATTTCCATACTAACATCTAGAATACAAATAGTTTTCTAGAATAACTGAATTTGCCCTTCTTTATCATTCAAACTGTGGAAATCTAGAAAAAACAGCTAGGCCAAACTCCATATAGACATTGCATATTTTTTACAAGTCTTCCATCTAATTATTCATGTGCTGATTGCCTAAATTAATCATTAATAAATGGTACTGAAAAGCTAAAATTAGTGGCATTGGAAGCAAAGGATTGTAGTCATCATTCATGTATTTTGGTAAGAAAAAAAACCTGTGGAGAGACAGATAAAGGGTTTGTATTAAAGCCATATTTTTTGTAATGGCAATATTTATGCAACACAATTTGCTCACAAGTGCTGGGCAGAAACTTTTTCTTAATGACTGAATAGTAGATGTCAATTTAGGGCCTTAGAAATCTTCCTAATTTTTTATCACCAGCCTGAAATCCTTTTATCAGGGGAAAAAAAACTCATACATTTCTTTCCTACTAATTAATGGATGCAGCATGAAATATAAAATATAAAACATGCAGCATGGAGATATATATAAAATTTATATTAGATTTTTTTCCTGGAGTGCATATTTAAAAGGGGATTTGGTATTCAGAAGCTTGATGGGAGTAGCCTTCTCGTGCTGGTTGATGACATTAAGAGGCCATCTGTACTGTTGATAACCAGGACCAGCACTCTAAGTAAACTTAGTTGATTATACTGATTAGTCATTTATAAAAATATTTGATTCCGATGGGTTCTCTAATTGATTTGCTCATTCACATTTCTAATCCCAGTTCTGTCCTTATCTAATGAGATTATCTTTGGGCCCTGACTATAAATAAGTGGACTCTAGTGGTTTCCCATCTGTACTTCATAGAACGCCTTCAGAGAGGGGTGGGATGGAAAAGGGTGATAGGAGAAGGGGAGCCCAAGTCAAAGCAAGAGTTTTCATCCTCTCAAACAAAGCAGATAAGATGGTACATGATGAAAGGTACAGAAATATTCATTCTAAATAAGGAATTCTTCTGAGAAAATGAAAGTGTTCTTAACAACTCTTTTAGTTATTGATGTCACTTTTATCACAATCTGGATCAAGGTTTGTTGGGGACTTTCCCACACATTGCACATAGGGTCAAAGGTAAAGATTCTCTCCATTGCTGTTATAAACAGGACATCCCTTTCTTATCTGATGACTAAGTTAACAACAACATAATGTATTGAAAATCTTCCTGGCTTGTGTATACCTGGGTACACCAGAATTCAGGTAATCCCCTCAGCTCTTTGAATTGGCAGAGAATGGCTGAGAGGGTGAAGCCATGGATGGTTTCTCTGCTGAAAACAACCTTGTCCAATTTTCCACCTTTTCCAATTAAAAAAATTTCTGTATATGCCATGATGTAAAAAAAAGTTAGGAAGTACTGATCTATTAAATGACAAAAGATCATCCTTCAAAATCTATACCTGGCAGCCCAAGGGCCAATGGTAAACCAAGCTTTGTTTGTGCACCCCATACTTTAGAAAACTGAATGTGAATGCCTTTGGGGATACAGACCACTCTTTGCTTTGCAGGCTACCCCACCACCCCTGAAGGCAACTGGTTTATAAACATTTAGGATGGCCTGGCGGCTTGCTTGATATGTTTGAGAAAGGCAGCACCCCTGCAGCCACAGCATAGAGGATTCTTAACTGCTTTATTCATTTTTTCTTTAGTTATAGATAAGGTTTGCCCTACACATCCCCATCCTCACATGTGATGACCAAGGCTCCCTATCCTCTCCCCAGGACTGTTACGAACAGCTGTCCTTAGGTGACATGGACCTGTGGATCTTTTCTTAGGCTGTTTTATCTTGGGATTCCTTCCACTCTGAGTTCTCCTGATGGGGGCTCTTTTCCTTTCCCCCTCTGAAGGTCTTGCATCCCTCTAATCTATCTCCCCACTGTGCCTCCCCCCAACCCCAGCCCCAGCCCCAGTCTTATATAGTATTTGAGAGCAGAAAAACTCACTCTTCAAGCATGAATCCACATCTCTCTCTCTCTTGTCCATGGCTCCATGGTTTCTTTGCTAGGCCTTTCTTTGCTTCTGCTTTGCTGTGGCTAGAAAAAGAAAAAACCAGCAGGATCCATAAAAATATACAGCCTAATACTGGGAGGAATTTCTAAATAAATCAAATAAGAAAGTCACAGGGTCTGTAAAGAAAATCATTAAAGTTTATTGAACATGAAATAAGATTTGAACAAATTGAAAGACTATGTTCTTGGTTGGGAAGTCAAAATACTATTTAAAAAGTCTATTTCCCTAATTGATATATAAATGTAATACCATTCCAATTAGGATCCCAATGGGCTTTTTTTTTTAAATTGTAATTAGGTAAATGTTTATATGGAATAACAAATGCCCAAGAATAGCCAAAGAAATTATTTTTTAAAAAAATAAGAAATACTTGCTCAAAGAGAAAGCAGAAGGAAAATGTTAATATCTTTATAACTTAAGCAGAAAACATAATAGGAACCATTACTTTCTACATCATTTTTATTTTATGAAACAGAAATGTTTCATAATTTAAAATCAAAAGCTAAAAGACTGAGTTACAACTATGTTAAGCCGCATAATAGAAAACCCCTAAATAAGAATGACTTTTAGAATAGCTTGTATTTCTCTCACACAGGAAAATAAGTCCCAAAGTAGAGAGTTAAGGGCTTGTGCACTGGACTCCACAGTCATCAGGGACACAGCTCATTCTCTCTTCTGATCTATGATCTTAGCCCATGATGTTCAATCTCAACACTACTTTATGACATGGCCCATTGTTTTGAAGCCCAGGAAACAGGAAAGAGGAAGAAAGGTCCTTCGCTGAACATACTGACAGATCTGGCTATCCTAGGTCTCATTTCTCCCACATCTTCTTGGACCACATTTAGTCAACAGCTGTACACTTCTTAGTGAAGGGGGCTGAGAAATGACTTCATCCTGGAGTATATACCCTGCTGAACACTTACGTACTCTCTTCTCCTGGCTTCAACATGTTTTGTGGGATCATCTTACATGTTACAGGAAGAAAATAAAGACTTACGGAGGAATTTAGTGAAAAGGTTTAGGTCAAGAGTAAACAAAATCTTGACTGATTTTCTTTCTTGTGGAATTCTCAAAACTTTCCCAATATACCTGGAAGTATTTTCCCAGTGTATCTGGAAAGGGAGGAAAAAGCCTTCATAATATCATGTCAATCGTAGAGGGCAGGTTAGTTTAATTGGAAATAAAAGTCAAAAAGTTTGGTTACCAAATTGTGATTTTCTCTCGTAATCCTCTGAGAAGAACCATTCCCACTCCATGACAGAAGCTACAAATCAGAACCCCATTACACATATGTTTGTTTTGCTTGCACTGCAGATAGTTTTTACATTTGTGAATTGTTTGTTGCAATTTTTTTTAAAATCCCATTTCAGATGAAAGTCTGGACTTCAGTTTTTTTTTAACATACTGACAGATCTGGCTATCCTAGTTCTCATTTCCGTGGGACAGTGATGGCCCAGAGCTGTTCAGATAGCTGTGGCTGCAGCTCATGGGCCCTGCCCTGGCCGGTAGGCATTCAGGTGCCTAACTGGAACCTGCAGGTGCATGAGTTTGTAATCCCTGCCTGAGGCAAATAAATTCCCTATACACGTTTTTCTGCCCTCACCACTGTCTTTGTTTCAATGGAGCTATTTGCTACTCTAGGTGGAGTATTTCTTGTCCAAAATGCTCCAGACCAGAGTGTTTTAGATTTTTTTTTTCAGATTTTGGAATATCTGCATATGCATAATAAGAGAATCTTGGGGAGGAGACCCAAGTCTGTACAGGAAATTCTTTTGTATTTCATACACACCTCATACATATAACCTAAAGGTAACTTTATTCAGTAATTTTACCGCCTCTGTGTTTTGACTACAACCTGTCACATGAGGTCACCTGTGGAATTTTCCATTTGTGGCATTGGGTTAGAACTCCAAAAGTTTGGATTTTTAAAGTATTTTGGGTTTCAGATTTTCCAATTTGGATGCTTGACCTGTACTGTGTATCTTCTAAATATTATCATAGCTTTCTGTATTAAATTTTGGGGAAAGTTATAATTAATAGATAGATGGATAGATAGATAGATAGACAGATAGATGCAGACTATAGATAAAAGGACTTAGGATCTATAAGACTGTATTGGTTTGTTACATACCTCTATATAGAGACTTAAATCAGGTCGTTTTGGGGGTTCTTTTCTCCTCTGCAGCATCTGTTTGATACTCTGCTAGTCCATATGCTAGGTATATTTGTGCCAAGGCTTCTGGGCCCTGAGGGTATCCTGCATGTGATTGCCTGCCATTGACAAGGATCTCAGTAACTGTGAATTTCCTTCCCTTTCCCTTTTTAATATGGGGCTCATCTGAATGCTGCAGGCATGTGAGCCCTGAAAGAGGCTGGCTCATTATATGAGCCAAAAGCCACAGCACAGTACTCTATCCACACAGAAGTGCAGCCTCTTACATAAAATCATTCTGAAAAACACAATCTGCAATGGCACCTCCTGGGTAGAGAGTATAGGAGAGTGTGTTAGAGGCATTCCATCATCTAATTCACCTGTTTTGTATCAAATAAGCTGCAGGGTCAACTGATATTTACCCTCTCTGTTTGGGCACCACAAATGTGTTGTCATCAATGTCTACACTTACAAATAAAATATTCAGAATCACATTGTGGAGTTGAAAAAAAATGGCAGAACCTTATTTGAAATTCTTGTGTCTGCAGGCTTAATTCATATAGGAATGAATTTATGAAAGTTTACTTACAAATTTACAAGGGTTTGGTTCAAATAAAATTATTTATTTTACTCATTACTATAACATTCTTATTACTAAAGTAAAATAAGATATAGGGGCCATAGAGGGAACTAGGCCAAAATTTTATTAAAAAGTTATTCACTTACATTTTTGTATCTTAGCCAAAAACAACAACAACAAAAAAACCCTCACTTTAGCTGTTCATCTTTTGCATCCTTTGCTTGTAAGCCCAGGAATATTTTGGAGTTTGGGGGGAGAGAGCACAAAATGATCATGTAATGTCCTCCAGAATGTATTTTTGACCTTCTTGAAAACAATGAGGGTGACAGGAAACCAACTCAAGTGTACCCCACTGATGAATTGTTTGCACTTGGCCTAGGGGAGAAACAGAGAAACAAAATTTGTTTTTTTAAAAGTTCTCCAGGAGAGGAGATTTAATCTTTACTTTAAGAACTCATTCCTCTAGCTACACAATCAATTACATGGCACTTGTCATTAGCGTTCTGAATTTACGGGTGCTCTATCTTTAGAAGAACTCATCATCCTCCTGTTCATCTTTTCTCTTTTTCAGTATAATAAGGTATACAAGAGCCTAAAGGAGTTTTCTCAAAATGGAGAGAATTTCTGCAAGCAGGTCACATCTGTTCTTCAGCAAAGGTACAGAATGCACATTTGGGATGAACAATTCTTCCTCTGTAGTTGCAGCAAGAGATAGGACCAGAAGAGTGTTTACTGTCCTGCTTTCCAGAACACAGTGTGATAGTTTGGTACTGGAGAGATTGGTTTGAAGAATGATTCTCCTCGACTGGGCATTTATTGACTGGACACCATAAAAATCAAGGAACAACAGGAGGGAATTCTGGTTAGGAAGGCTCAGTCGAGTCTCCTCGGATTTCTCAGACTGAGTTTATCACCTCTTCAGGGGCCCACTGTTGTGTCTGATGTCTATATTGTACTTTTCACACTGATGGCAATGATGAGATTGCATTCTTTGCCTCCCCTAAAAGGGTGAAAGCTGTGTCTCACCGTTTTTGTAAGATGAATTCTTGGAGCCTGTCTCCGATTTCTTTGGTAAATTATCAGATGAATGAATGGATGGAGGGATGAAAGTCATCATTTTCAGTACCATTTTCTCTTAATACTAGGCATGATCAAGTAGCGACCTGTTCACTGTGCAGAAGAGAACACACTGAACTAAATCAAAAAAGTAACAAAGGGTCACTGCTTAACGTTGAGAACCCAGGGACTAAGTTGGCTCATAAGTGGTTTTCAGGCCTTTTCCCCACCTCTAGGCAGTTCTATAATAAGCAATTCTAAAGAGATCTTTTAGAAGAGATTGCTTATTTTTTAAGGTAAACTTTTTCAATCTTAAAATATTGTATATGTACCAAAAGTTAAAGAAGCTGTGGGTTAATTACTTTCTGTATTAGTGGGTCAAGACCAAAAAAGAGCATGCACTCTATCAGAACCAAAGAATGAGGCCAAAGAAAGACTTCAAGCACTCAAATGGGCTTTTATTAAAGAAAAATCAGGCTTTTCAAATGGAATCAAAAGGAAAAAGTTTTAAAATATGGGATTATTTCCATCCTAACAGTCCAACTACTTTGGTCCCTGAAAGGGAAGAGGGGAGAACCCATCTGGGAAGGTATTTCTTTTGTAAGAAAACATTTTTATCCATCTCAAAGGAAATTGTTTAAAACAAGACCAGTTAACTCTTCTATAAATTCAACTCATTACTTAGGTTAGACAGCATCTGCCTCCTGCAGATCAGAGAGAATCTGAAAGCAGATTAGCTGTTCCTGTGACCTAGATTGCCATCATCTGGTTTTTATTTTTTTTGGTAACCAAGAGTCCAAAACCTCAGAGAGAGCTGTGAGGACAGAGGCAAGGGACAAATATGCCGGCTGCTAGTTTGTTTTTGCAATTGATGCTTTTCTATGCCTTTTGTGACACTAACTTGGTACAATCGAATCATTTACTGAGATGCCACTTTTGAGGTGCTCTCTACAGATTCCCGATAAAGGTACATTTTCAGTATCCCCTGGACCTGAGCTGTCGAGTTTCCTCTCCTTGCTCAGCTGTTGATTACATAATTAACCTGAGGGATGTTTGTCTACATGGAAGAAGCTGGTACTTTTGGAGAACTCTTTTCTAATGAGCTCAAACACCATTAATTTGTGGACATGTGGCACACTGTGTATTTTTAGACCGTATTCCTCCATGTCAGTTGGCAAAGACAGAGTTCATCTCCCAGGATTAGATCATTTCTCTCCCACAGAAGTGGTGTGATTCTGGTATCTCCCTCTGCCTGTTGTACTTAAACTAACCCCACATAATAACTTAGTCAACAACAAGGTTGACCCGTCATAGCATAGCAGGTATTACATTCACCTTTACTCCCCGTTCTGCGATTCAGAAATGACTTCCTTAGTCATAAATAAGATAAAAGGTGAGTTCCTTCCAGCCGTCAAGAAACAAGCCCAGGGTTTACTTCCTGTTAGGTGTGTGGGGTGTATTACAAATAAGTCAATGATACATTTCCCTTACATTAGATAAATACACGGAAAGCCAATAGTCTTTGAAAGAAGCTATCCTGTTTCTTAGGGTTTTGGAACAATAATGGGAAACACCATAAGACAAGTAAAATAGTTCTCTTAGACACGAGAGAAAATCATGACAGCAAATCCAGTGGCCAGCATATTGGAAGATATTAGGAAGTAGCCCATTGGAGCTTCTTTGCACAGAAAATGCATTTAGTAAGTATTTGTAGATGAATGAATAATTATGTAAAAGATTATTAAGGGATTGTATTTTATTATTACTATTCAGACATTATTAGAACAAGATCTTTATTGTCCTTGGAGATTTACATTTCTGAACACTTTACCTATGAGTCTGTTGAATGTGGTTCTCGTGGGAAGAGTTCTGAATTAGGATGGAGAAGTGAGAGGCAGCATCACATTGGAGTTGGAAGTGCAGACACTGTTTTCTCTCTACACTCAGCTACCTTCTGGCATTCATTCTAACTAAAGATGATAGAAAAGTACAATTGTTATTGAAACCCCATTTTTCTTGGCTATTCTGCTATTCCCGGTTATGCTTAGCTTCTTTTATCCAAGAAATTACTTGGGTTTCCCTTTTGTTTTGCAGTAGCAAACTCAGATTTGACCAGAGACACACAACAGCTTCTACAATGCCTAATGCCAAGGTCCTTAAGAGTTCACTGTAATACAATTACAGATCAGATTTAAGGAGACAAAGACACATTCCCAGAAACTATGTTTGGCTCCCTTAACCCTCATAGCTAATGTTTAAACAGGCTTTGATGGGAAAATCAATTGTTCTTCTGAAAGGAAGCTGAAGATTTCCAAATGGCAAGAACCATTGCTGTGGACATTAGAAAAAAAGAAAAAATAAGGGGGTGTACTTGACCATTTATTCCAGCCACAAACCATTGCAGACCCTGTTACCAAAGATATTAAAAAGCCCAAATAACTTCTTTGATAAATCTCACCTTTTCTACCCAACTCATTGTCCTGGGTGCTCTAATTCCCACAGCCTCAGCTCCCTTACATATGGATGACTTCCAGATGGACATTGCTAGGCAACGTGTCTGGATGGACTTCAAGACATGCCTTCAACATTAGATGGAATGCTCCCTTTCTCCTCAGTGTGTCATGGAATCTCAAAGTTAACCTAACCAAACAGAGTTCATAAATTTTTCTCCAAAGGAGGCATTCCTTCTAGACATTTTACCATGATTACTAGGACCACAGCCTACTCAGTCACGCCCAGCCCCCAGGGGCCACGCCTTCCCATGATTCCTTCTGTCTTAATTCGTGACCATGATTTCGTATTTCTCTCTTCTGAACCTCCTTTACATCTATAGTTCTCTTTGGATTTTATGGCTTTCTCCATTGTTCTGGAAAAATTCTTGCAAGCCAGTCTTATGACTGCAGGACTGAGTTACTGTCCTGCAGCTGTGTGGTTTGTATGCTACTCAAAGCTCCTGGCTGAGCACAATAAGCGGAGGCAAAAGTTGAATCCACTCTCACCCTGCTCTGTGCCATCAGAGGGCTTTTTCTTTTCCTAATCCAGGCAGAGTTCCCTCAATTTGTGGGCTGGCTGACTGGTATTCTATCCCTGTCTCTATGTATCTTCTACTCTGTGACCAGGACCCTGTTTAAGACCCTTCAAAGACTCCCATGACTTTCAGGATAAAATTCAGCTCTCATGACATTTTACAAGGGACATGTGAGATTTGAGCTCTGCCTTTTATCACGTCTCTCCCCATCTCCCCATGATCCCCGATCCCCTCCTCCTCACTGAACTACCTTCGATCTCCTCCTCCCCACTCTGAGTCCCTCCACTGACACCACAGGCAGGTGCCTATATTAGCATAGGCGGTGTCACCCGCCTGATCCATACATCTTCACTTCATTGGCTGACTCCATTCTTTATGACCCAGTTGTCCCACCGTGGAAGGCCTTGACTCTAGTTCCTAGTCTGAAAAAGTGTCCCCTATTTCTATGTGCACAGTGAGCATTTACCTCTGCTCTATCTTTAACTGTCCTACACTCTTATTATTCTTTGTTCCCTTCTCTTCCTCTCCCCTTGGAAGCTGAACTCCTGGAGGATCTTTGTGTCCCATGTGACTAGCAGGGTCCTGGCACAGAGTGGATGTTCAGTAGATGTTTGCTGAGTGAAAGAATGTGTTAACGTCTGAGCTGCTCTGTGCCTTTAGTCACTCATAACTTTCAAGAAGTTAAAGTTAGGCCACTTCTTAGGAGCAATAAATGATTAAGTCAGAGCCATTCACTGACATCATACTGTACGTAGCCTATTATTTGAACAAAAGTTAGAAAAAAAATGAAATCATGGAAGAGATCCTTCACAGGCCTGGCACTGTATTCGAAGGGTCTTGTACTTGATCTCTTTACTTTAGTCCTCACTACCCAAAGTGGCATACGCATACTCTTATCCATTCCTGTTTTATAGATAAGGTCATGGCAAAGGTGAGGCATTAGGTTCCTTACCCAGCCTAACCCAGGCTCAGTGCACAGACCTCTTCCAAGTGGGCAGGCAGTTTCAGGCACTGCTATGGGGGTTCCAACATGATCAGGGGGTCTTGTACAGTGTTCACAGAGTCATAGGGTCCTCCAGGAGCAGGGACCTCAGTGGTCATCAAGCCCAGGGGCTTTAAAGCCCTGTGGCTCAAGGGATCTGTGAGGAGCCCTCAGCACCTATTTTGGTTGGTAAGGAGGAGGCTAGGTGGGCAGACTCTCTCCTTCCTCAGTCCCTCTCCCAGCTACTCTACAGCAGCTTTGCCAGCAGTTATAGAATATGCTCCTGTTCAGTATCATATTTTGTTTTGCTGATAAAAAGCTTTGAAAACTGCCTGTCCTGTCCACTTGACCTGACTCCCCCCCCCACCAAAAGTCTTCCTCCCTGCCCCATGCACACAGAAACACTCAGCTTGGGAATGAACAGATGTGTTGGACTGGAAGTCCTTACGTGTTCCCTGGGTCAGAGAGAGCGGGCAGAGACTTGATGAGACTCTCAGCCTGGACATCCAAGAAGGGCGCCATCGCGGCTCATCCTCCCATTTCACCTTCTTATATTATTCTCAGGAACCAGAATCAAGGCAGTCAGTAATGATAAATCGGGCTAGCCAGAGAACTCAGCCACTTGAATCACAGAGCTTCAGTTTTATTTCAATTGCCAATCACTAACTTTAATTACTTTATTGTTAATTAATTATTTTTGTGGTCCTAGTGATTGAACGCAGGGCCTTGTGCCTGGCAGGCAAGCACTCTACCACTGGGCTACACCTCCCCCCAGCCCTATTTGTTGATTTTTTTAGTTACACATAATAATCATACATACTTAAGGATGCAAAGTTTTATGTATATATATGTATACAGTATGTGATGATCAAATCAGAGTCATTAGCATATTCACCACCTCATACATTTATCATTTCTTTCAAGAACCTCTCTTCTAGCTATTTTGGAATATAGAATATGTCATTGTCAACTTACTCACTACAGTGTGTGATAGTGTGATAGACCAGCACTTAGTCCTGTCTTCTTGAACTGTGCACCCCATTGGCCTCATTCACACCCTCACTGCTCTGTGTCCTCCACCTCACCAACAGCCTCTGGTAACTTTTCAATAATCTATTTGTAAGATGAGCTTGTGACTATCTTGTTTTTATTGGTTCTTTTTAGTTATACATGACAGTAGAATTCATTTTGACATAATTATACAAGCATGGAACCTATCTTGCTCCCCTTCCTCTCCCTTTCTCCCACCCCTTGCTCCCTTCCTTCTACTCGACTGCTCTTTCTGCCATTTACCCATAGTTATTTTTTAATTAATTTCTTGCAGTATACATGATGGTGAGATTCAATGTGGAATATTCATATAGCTGACACAGCTTAAAAGGAAAACATCAGCATACCCAGCCCCAAACCAGAAACGGTTGCTGGTGCAAAGAAGGAGATAGAAAATAGGGGTGATATCACAATGGAAGAGATTTCTAAAATTCTTTCTTAATTTATAAAGAAGGGAGGGCTCTTTCACTTGCTCTTTTGTTAATTATTAGAGATTTATTATTATACCTACTAGCTGAGTTCATCCCAATGAACTCATACAAGCATGCAAATCAATTTTAGTTCATGATCCCCCATTCTTCCTCCCCTTTCCCTCCCATGCTCCCTCCTCTCTCCCATTCTCCTTCCTCTATTCTACTAGACTTCCTTTTGTTCATCTATTAATTTATATTTGATTGTTATCCTATTCTTCTCTCCCCCTTCCTTTGTTTTACTCTAACTTCTGCATATGAGAGAAGACATTTGACCTTTGAGTTCCTGAGTTGGCTTCTTTCACTTAACATGGTATTCTCCATTTCCATCCATATACTAGCAAATGCCATAATTTGATTCTTTTTAATGGCTGAGTAGAACTCTATTTTATATATTTGCTACAGTTTCTTAATCCATTTATCTATTGACAAGCATCTAGGTTGATTCCATAATTTAGCTATTGGGAATTGTTGCTATAAACATTGATGTGACTATATCGCTGTAGAATGCCAATTTTAGATCTTTTGCAAAAATACCAGTGATGGTTCTATACCTAGTTTTGTAAGGCATGTCCATACTGCTTTCCAGCATAGTTATACTAGACTGCAGTTTCACCAACAACGAACAAGTGTGCCTTTCCCCCTGCCCCAACCTCACCAGCATTTATTGTTGTTCTTAGTCTTGATCATTGCCATTCTCACTAGAATGAGATGAAATTTTAGTGTAGTTTTAATTTCCATATCCCTGATTGCTAGAGATGTTGAATATTTTTTTCATATATTTATTGGCCATTTGTGTTTCTTCTTTTGATTTTTAGTTTAATTTCTGTTTAGTTGTTTTGCACATTTGTTGATTGGGTTATTTGTTTGTTGTTGTTTTGGCGTTAAGTTTTTTGAATTCTTTTCATATTTTGGATATTAATCCCCTAACACTACAGTAGCTGGCCAAGATTTTCTCCCAATCTGAAGGTTCTTGTCTCGTACTTTTAATCATTTTCTTTGCTGGGCAGAAGCTTTTTAGTTTGATGATATTCCACTTATTCCACCTGCTTTTTTGAAGTACAAGAAGGTCTGAGCTCAATTTTAATTAGTTCCTCACAGATACAGAGCATAATTATGGTGTTTTTTTTTAATCCACTTTTTACAATTAAAGCAAAGTCCTCTAAGATTGATTATGAGTCACTTATATTATTCTTACAGTTTAATTTGTGCTGTATCTAAAATATTGGATCTAAAACCACATGTTTTCCATGGCTTCTTTCTTTCAAAAGGAGAGTTGTTTTAAAAATCTAAGTCAAATATTGGCCTTTGACTTTATTGTTTCGTCTTATTTATTGGTTTGTCTTTATTAACTACTAATGAAAATATATTGACCTGCCTTGCATGCTGAGAAGAAATTAGAATATAAGTGGATTAAAAGCCAGTGTATGTCATTTCCCTGGTTCAGAATCTTCAAAACTCACTTGGGTATTTTGAGCTAGTATTACCCATCAAAAGGCCACACATCATCAATTTTACACGTGCCAAGACAATTGCCAATGACATCTTCACTCAAATTAGAAATAGTGGATGTAAAGTGGAAAGAAAAGAAATAAGAAAGAACTAGACAAGTAAACACAAGACACATCCAAGCTTGTTCCTGATTATTTTTATGAGGGAAAAAAAAAATATTCCATGTCTTGTTCGAGGTGAGCTCTGCTCCCTGGACTCCCTATGACTGTGGTAACCACAATAAAGCAACTCCATCAAGGGACTAGGAAGAAACCAATCTCGGAGGAGGTGTGTGTTGCTGCCTCTGTCTCAGGAAAGCACCAAAGGCATCTATTTCTGTTTGGCAGGTACCCTGAAAGCATGCGTGTGTGGCTTCCCTAGACCATGGCACAGAAGAGCTGCATAGCAGTGATTGCCCTCTGACAAACCTTCTGACTACAAAAATGACAGCTCTCTCCTCACTTGCCACTTCTTATAAAAGTGATTTTCTCTGGATTCGAATTGAACCATTAGTATCTGTTAAGGTAAAAGGCATTAAGAACCAAAAGCCTGCAAGACAATGTCCCACCCTACTCGCCATGCTTTATCTCAATACCTTCTGACTTAAGAGAGTGGAGTTGTCCGCTGAGTTTCCACAAATGGTCACTAGGGCTTAAAATGCAAGCATAGAGGGTTACAGCCACTCTACTTGGCTAATTTGAATGCTGATTCTAAAACCCTTGGGGTCATCAATAAGTGGAAAGTTGAGAGTCTAGGGACACAACTGTGCTGTTCAGAGAGGTGGGTCCAACTCAGGACAGCCTCAGAGAGTTAGGCTGATGACATTTAATGTCAGAGTCTCCTCCTTTTCCACTATGCCAGAGACTCAACACTGCCACTTTCCACTGCCCAATGCCTTCCAATTGCACAGATGTCTTCAGTAGAGGTCCTGGAAACATGTCGGTCTGCACCCAGGCATCTGTGAGGTGGATCTCTAGCTGCTAAGCCACCAGGAGCTGTGGAGCTTCAGAACACTGCAATTAAAGGCACTGAGTCCATTTTCAAAAGTGCTTTTGTTTGACTTCCCCCTTGGTTCTCCCCCTGCGGTCTCGTCCCCACAGCCACAGGTGGGAGAATGGAGTGGTTACTCAAAGGTACCCAGCCAGAGGGCCCAGGTTAGAATCCCAGCTCTGTCACCTCCTTCATGCGTGTCCTCAGGCGAGTGATGGAGTTAACTCTGGGCCCCAGCATTCCCTCCATGAAATGGGTAAAGGAACTGTGCCAACCTTGTGGGGTTACGGTGGATGAAATGAGGAAATACACCTAAGACACTTAGAATGGTGCCCGGCACGTTTTAAGTGCTCAGTAGAGGCCGGATGTTGTTAGTCCCTGTGCAGACAGCAAGGTCAAGCATCAGCAGCAACTAGGCGCCACGTCCTCAGGCCAGCACGAAGCGCGTGCTTTTCCTGGAACAGGATCACAGGAAACTTCCATCTGCATACCCACACGCCTGCCCTGCCACAGAGGCCTGAGATACTTGAATGTGAAGAGAAACCTTCCCACCCAAGAAATGCCATTGAACCTCCCTAGATTGGGAAAGCCAGTGGAGATACCACAGTGTTCAGTAGGACTATGGCCAGACTCAAAAAAGTGCCAGCTCACCCCTGAACAAGCAAGGACCCTCTCCCTTTCCTGCTGACAAAGCCCAACTCTTTTCTTTTTCCCAAGAGAATCCAATTAACAATATAAAGGGAAGCAACACTTCTTTTTGGTGGTTGTCCTTTTTATTCCTGGAAGCCTCCAGAACACTTCGTACAGCCTGCAAAAACATCCAGCAAGTGAAACTGAACTATGATGAGAAAGAGGCTGTGCCTGACAGGTCACCTGCCCTTAGGAACTCTCTGGGACTTTCTGTGGGGGAGACAATGGACAAAAAAAAAAAAAAAAAACCACGCAGATTCCTCCCCCTGCACCGTATACCTCCATAGACTTGGGGTGCTCTGAATATTTACAGACCCCTTTGGGTACATAATAATAATCAGAATAATTAATATTTGCTCAGGATTTGTTTTGGGCCCAGCACTCTGAGCTGAACACTATAATTCATCATAATGCTTTATGAATGGAAATGAAAGCAAGAATAGCATGCTAGTACTAAAAACCCCTTTAGTGACAAGGGACTAGGAATGGGCTTATGTGTTAGGAAGCAGTTTACTCTGCTTAGGGCTAAACACAGCTCCAACTATTCTGATGCATATAAATTGGCTTGTCAGTTTGATATATTTGAAAGTTGTGAGGCAAGAACAGACTTGTAGTGAAGAACAGTAAGAATTAGAATCCAGACCTGGTGGGAAGTTCATTCATTGTTTCATTCACATTATACATACTGAGGAGCTATTATGCACCAAGTGCTGTTCTTAGCCTAGAGAGTCGGCAATGAACAAAAGAACTCTTAAGCCTCATGGAGCTATTTACATTTTATGGGTGTTCACAAAAGTACACTAAAAGATCATAATGTGATGTAAGATAGTGATAAGTGCTAGGGCATAAATAAAAATGTAAGGAAATAACGACAAGGATCTCCTTTTAGATAGGTTAGCCTCTGAGGAGATAACATTTGAACCAGACCTGTTTAGTATAATAGAAGCAGAATACCATGTGGCCATGCAGTAGAAGGAGTACTCAGCAGAGGACACAGCGGGTGCAAAGATCCCGAGGCAGAGTGGCAACTGGCCACTGAGCAGGAATAAAACAAGGAAAGGGGTGTCAAGAGGGAAGGGAAATCATAAAGGGAGGGGATCAGAATATGTGGGACCTTCCAAGTCAATAGCAATTGTTCCAGTCGCTGTTCTCCTACTAGGCATGGGTTATTATCACATTTTAATCCTCACAAAACCCAATACCACCTCACTGACTAGCACTCTTTCTCTCTCTCGCTCTTTCCATTAATTGAAGGATATTCCTACAGCAGAGACATCTATTTCTAAATATGATGAGATGTTTATTTGCCAGCTTCATTACTTAAAAATTAGTTTCCTTGACTCTTCATTTTTAAAAAAAACTTTTTAAAGTTGTAGATGGACAAAATACCTTTATTTTATTTATTTTTTTATGTGGTACTGAGGGTCAAACCCAGTGCCTCACATGCTAGGCAAGTGCTTTACCACTAAGCCACAACTCCAGCTCCTACCTGGGCAAGTTCTGATACCAAATGAGTGTTTTCTACACCTATGCTTTAATATACATCCTATAATGGACTTTCTTCCAAAAAAAAAAGTGGTAAAAATAAGTAGAGGTGTTCTAACAAGGAGAAATGAATTAAAAAAAATTATAATAGATCAATGCTCCAAGGTCTCTGGATCCTATTTATAAAAGAACTGCCAGTCTTTGCTTGGTTTACAACACTAAGTTCAATTTGTGTGAAAATGTATAGTTATTAAGATAGTGTTACTAAAGAGTTCTGGGTTTTTCCCAGATGAAATTAAGTACAAAACAATTTTGAAGGTATTTGATAATTTAAAAAAAAATAGAACTAAAAACTGGAAAAAAAATGCAACAAAACCTCTTTGGGTCTCTATTAACAAATACAGATCAAAAGTAATTCACCACATTTCCTTTATCTGCAGTCAAAAGTGAGGTGAATAAGATTATCCTTTCATCATTAGCTATAGCTGGGCAGATAAATAGACCATGGTTCAATCAGTTTAAGGCGAGAATGATCCAACAGAGCCAAGGAGGTTGCTTTTGGAGGGAGGCGACCTTATCCTCTTGCTGAACCTTGTCCTGCAGAGAAAGTCATAGAAGTTTTCTTTTCTAAAAATCTGATGTCAGCCTCACAACAACTTTCCTAGATATGGGTGCATGCCTGTAGTCCCAGCTATTTGGGAGACTGATGCAAGAGGATTCCTTTTAAGCTACTGCTTTGTGAGTTCAATCATATGGTATCATTCTATTTCCAGCTATTATAATCTAGAGCTAATCTGATTAATGTTACTTTTTTTAAAAAATCTTTTTTGGGGGCTACTGGGGATTAAACCCAGAGTGCTTAACCACTGAGTCACATCCCCATCCCTTTTTAATATTTTATTTAGAGATAGGGTCTTGCTGAGTTGCTTAGGACCTCACTAAATTGCTGAGCCTGGCTTTGAACTCGTGATCCTCCTGACTCAGCCTCCCCAGCCACTGGGATTACAGGTGTGTGCCATCATACCTGCCCAGGTACTACTTCTGTTCCTTACCAGCTGTGTTAGTTTTCTTGGGCTGTTATAACAAGTTACCACAGACTGGGTGGGTGCCTTGAACAGCAGACTAGAAGTTGGAAATCCAGGTGTTAGCTAGGTTGGTTCCTTCTGAGGACTATGAGGGAGAAGCCGTTTCATGGGTGTCTCCTGCTTCGGGTGGTGTGCTGGCAATCTTTGGCACTCCTTGTCTTGGAGATGCACCATCCCGATCTCTGTCTTCATGTTCATGTGTCATGCTCCCCTTGTGCATGTCTGTCTCTGTGTCCAAATCTCTGCCTTTTATAAGGACACATTGTACTGGGTTGAGGCCCACACTGTTGACCTCATCTTGATCTTCATTTGCAAAGACCCCCATTTCCAAATAAGATCACAATCCCAGACACTGGGGTTCTATCACCAAGCCAGTTACAAGTATGAGCTTCAGAGTCACAGGCCTAGTTGCTATGCAACTCTGCAACTCATTACCCATGTGATTGAGAGTTTCTTAAATTCTCTTGATCTTCATTTGCAAACACAATATTTTGGGGGGAGACACAGTTCAATTCATAACACTGCTGTGAAAGAAGGTTAAATAAAATGTTCTCCCTTTATAGAATCCTTTTCCATATCCTGAAGGGTTTGTCTAAAGACAAGAGGGTCCTTATAGGAAGTCATCTCTTCTTTATGTAATCATTGAGCCTGTGTGGGGAGGGTGGGGGCGGTGGCTGACTTCCAACCAGTACATGCTATTTAACAACTATCCCTTTGCTAACAGAGCTAACCTAGAGATGAGCTACGCCAAAGGGCTTCAAAAGCTGGCAATCAAGCTGAGTAAAGCATTACAGAACACAAAGAAAAAGTAAGTATGATGGCAGAGGTAAGGCAAAATCATTCTTAAAAAGAATACACAGTGTCCCCTGCTTCCTCTGGTCAATGTGGCAGGCCCACGCCATCAAGCACGGCTTCTGGTGTGAGGGCACTTACTCTGTACTGTACACTGTTAAGTGCTTGGCAGATGCTCTCATTTAATCCTCACAACAACCTAAGAGCTCTTATTATCATCCATCTTTAGAGAAGAGGACTTGAGGCTTGGAGAATTTAAGAAACTCCTAATCACAAGGGTAATGAGTTGCAGAGTTGCATAGCAACTAGGCCTGTGACTCCGAAGCTCATACTTGTAACTGGCTTGGTGATAGTAATGTAGTTAAATCAGGAGATCTTGGGAAAATGTGAATTCTTTGTTATCTCTACCCTTTGGCCTTTGACAAGCAACTCAACCTCTTTGTGTCTTGATTTCTTCCCTATTAGATGGAGTGTGATGGAGAATATGTGTCCCATTGTGTACGTGTGAATGTGTTTGTGTGTGTGTGTGTGTGTGTGTGTGCACATCATATACATGTTAATTGCAATAACAAGTGTGAAAAGCTGGCTTGAACCTCGGGTGCAAAAAGTTGTTGGTTCACATTCTCCTCAGAATGAAGCAGATTTCTTCTTTTGGAGGACTGAAGATCCTGGTATTCTGAAAGTGGTCCATTAGTGATAATTGGCTGCAGAGATTCTTGACTAATGCATACAGATGTGACCCCTAAACCGTCAGTGCTGTTTCAAAAGCTACTTACCATAATGAAAGAGAGAAAATGAACAGAAACAAAGAAGGCTTCTGGAGCCCAAATTCCCATTTCTTAGATATCACCTGACTAGATGTCACCTGTAATTGCAAATGATAGCTTTGAAATGGCTCTAGCTTTTAGCTTTGTTTTCATATTTAGGATAGCATTCTGGTAAACTGCAAAGGAGCCAGTACAGCACAATGGTTGGGTAGAGATAGGCTTCTGCCTATACTGCTCTGGTTTAAATTCTAGCTCTACCACTTATCAGACTAGTGGCCCAGGACAATTTATCTTCCTCTCAGTGTCACTTTGAAATAGAAATAATGTCTATCTCCTACAGTCTCAAGGAGTAAATGAGATAATACAGGTATACTGAGCAGAGTACCTGACCAGGAGCAAAAGCTCTGTAAATGTTCATTTTGTCTCTGATTCTAATTCCTTAATGAGAATTATTCCTCCTCAGGAATAAGAGGTGGAGGGGTGTATGTGTCTTATTGTGCTGCAACCCTAGCATCCAGCATAGTACCACCAAAGAGTTGGCATGTCCGGAATGTTCTATTAACCAGCATCAGTATATTTACTAATAATCATCAACTGAACTTTTGCATACCAAAATCTGTTTTAGGTACTTACTTGCTCAGATATCCCAACGTGTTTTTATTTTAAACTATCAGTTGAGGGAGGGTCAGAGGAAAGTGATTCTGCCAAGGTCACACAAAAAACACAGGAGGAAGGGTGCCTCCAGACTCAGCCCCTCTAAGGCCAACCCTCCAGGTCTCTTTCCCTGCTCTCCAATTGCTCTAAGGGACCATTGGAAGACTCCCCCAACATTGTGCCTGGCATCCTTGAAGAAAATACACACACACGCACACACACACACACACACGCATAACTCTATCGAGGATTAATTTACAGGCAGTACTAAGCACCAATCTGAAGCATTTGGTTTGGTCAATTTTGACACATTTGTACTGTGTAACAAACCAAAGCCCAAACAGACATTTTTATCATGCTGAAAATCCCCAGGGTCTGTCTGTAGCTCCAAACAACCACTCATCTGCTTCCTGTCAATATAGATTTGTTATGTCTTTTCTGGGCTTTCCGATCGCTGGCAGCACACAGTAGGTCCTCTCTTGTGCCTGGTTTTGTTCCTGTCTTCGGAGGTGTAAAAAGGTCAGGGTATTTTGGTCCAGCTCTTCCATTCTCTGTCTACAGGGTGCAAACTCAGGCTTTAGAGAAGAAGACCTCTGCACTGTTCAGATTTTAACCAGGATGCAGGTTCCTCCTCTCCCTCCTCATTAGAATCAACATGGGCTCTGTCCCTGGAGGTTATTAATGCAATAGGGTTCATTCCCCTGACTGTTGAAGGCAGGCTATATACCGGCTGCCAGGAGCTGGATCTCTTCTATGGGAGAAGATGGCATCACGCTTTCTAATCCTCCTCCTCCTCTGCTTCTGGGGAGTTGGCGGTGCTCCCTTTTGTGTTCAATTGGAGTATCTCTGAAAGGACTCGGAAAGGTCTGAGATGTGGTACTAAAAGTTGGCAGGGAGCAGAAGCTGGATCCCAACCCCAAGAGCAGCAATCAGAACATGAGCAGGGTGTCAAGTCCTCTGTCACTTCACTTCTCAAAGACTCACAAGTTTATTCATCTGTAAAGCGAGGAAACCCAAGAGATTGTCTTTGAGGGCCTTCTAACCCAGCATCCTATCTCCCATCTCTTCTCTTCCTCACCTATTTGATTTGCCTGATTTTCTACAGACATGAAATGGAAGATGAAAATCTAAATTAAAAAAATTATGGAGGTAAAAAATAGTATATATAATGACTATGGTGCACATAAATATATTGGCAGAATTTAATCTCCTGGAGAAATGGAAATATGCTTATGGAAGAAAATCCACTGACAGTGTAACACAGTATGCTTCGTTTCTCAGAGTTCACGGGAAAATCACACGTACTCTTGTTCATCTCCCCGACCCCACCATGTTTTTTCCTCTAGCTGTCTCAGCAATGCCTGGGCCTGGGCCTCGGAGGGCATGAGATCCACAGCGGACCTGCATCAGTGAGTGTGCCCCCCTCCCACCCTGGCCTTACTCCAGCCCCAAGGAGAGTCACACATATTCAAAGGGGTTGGGGCACAAATATTCCACTTCAAACTTGCACTGAATTGATGTGCTATAACATGCCATTTTATTTCCCTGGGAAGTAATTGGGAAAGTAGATATAAACCCTAAGACAATGATTGTATGTCTTTATGTTCTATTTCCAGAAAACTTGGCAAAGCAATTGAGTTGGAAGCAATAAAACCAACTCATCAAGTCCTGAGTATGCAAGAGAAAAAGAGGAAATCGGTGAGTCAAAGCTTTTCTTTTCTTCCCTGTTTAAAGCAAGATTTCTGTCTGTGGCCAGTGGAGGAAAAAAAGGTGATCTAAAAGTGATACTAGCTCTTAGGAATTTAACATAAAAATAATCAAAATCACACTTCCAAGATTTATGATCATGGCTGTTTGTTAGTGCATTATTTAAAGTAGTGGAAAAGTGACAAATACTTCATCATTCAAAGACAGACTATGAAAATAAAACAAATATGATAAAGGCAAGTAATAGAATACTATGCAACCATTAAAATGTTATTATAGAAGGCTGAGGATGTAGGTCAGTGGGAAAAGAGTACTTGCCTAGTGTGTGCAAGGCCCTGGGTTCAATCACCAGCAACAAAAACACAAAGAAATAAAAAATCCTATTGTAAAAAAGAATTTGATCACATGGGGATTTGTTCACAATGTAGTGTTGAATAAAAAAGCAGGATGAGAACAATCTAACAAACAATATCATCTCAATTTTTAGGCTATGCTATGCATACACACCCAGAAAAAATCTGGAAGAATCTTCCCAAAATGTTAATAAGAATTACCTTGAGGTGAAATTACTGGTTATCGCTATTTCATGCTTTGTACTTTTTGTAGATTTTTTTTCAGTTTTATTAATATGAACACAATTCATAAAGATGATTTTCTTATCATTTTTGGATTTTGTAAAGATGATAATAGAATGCAGTTCTCAAATATTCTTAAAATTGAAAAAAAAATGCTAATCAACTCCCTTGGGGCACCTGGTCCTCTTGTAGGGTATCCTTTGGTCTTCCCATAAGCCTTTCCTTCTGGATAGTTTTGTTTGTGGTCCTTTTTCTTTGTGTATCTTACAGGTGTTAAACTCCTTGGGTTGTTTCCAGGCCACATCAATGCCACATTAATAAATTGCTTCTTGGCTCTATTGGGGTTGGATTTGTGAATGCTCTGATGAAAGAGAAATAATTTTAAAAATGTTTAAATTCTAACTCACTTAACTGAGTTAGGAAGTAGAATTGATGTTTCCGTGTACATACACATGTTTTACCAGACTGGATGTTCTAGCTAGGGCTAGGGTGATAGGTAGAAATTTACGAGAAATATTAGAAAACAACATAACCATCCACCTTTGCAAATCAATTTAATAAAAACTAATCACTAAGCTATATTTCATTAATTACAAAATATACTTTTACCATATGATAACTGCATTTCTGTAGTACTTATTATAAATTAGGCATAGAGTGATGACAGTTTATCACAGGGCTTTAGGTAGCTGATGTCATGACCCCCAAACTGCTGTTTGTTGTCCTCTTTTTATCATTACCCGCCACCCCCCACACACCCATACTGTACCTGACCTTTCTGTCCCACTCTCACACAAAAGATAAAAGATTAGATTTTTATCTTTAAAAGTGAACTTGTTCCACATTCCAGTCACATCTGTAGGATCAAAAGGGGTATAGTGCATAAAACCATCTTCATTCCATTTGTTACAATAAACCCTGTATCCTAAATTTAATCACCTGGGGAAAATAAAAGCTTTGCATTTGCCGATTCTCAGAGTGGTTGAGAGATAGCTGATATGCTGAGTCTGTGGACCAGGGAAAAAAATTCCACCCTAATTTATATCTGCTCTCCCTGGGGCATGGCCCAAGTCCACTGTCATCATTATTATCACTGTCCCTTTTTTCAAAAGTTAATTCAGTCTTCTTGAAATTAAAGCAGTAGTCACATGAGGAGCAATGGAGACATTTATTAAACTTATCAGGGCCAGGACTGTACTGGCTCTCATGGTGCTGATGTTTTTGCCACATGGATTGATGTTAAAGAGGATGTGATGGGACCAGCAGTGACCCAGCCTCTGCAAGTGCCTATTCCACACAGTTGCATATATGAATATGCTTTTCACATCATTATAGACTGGAACTCATTACTTTTCCAAATCCTGCCAGGAGCCACTTGACACAGAGATAAGATAGTTTGGCTGCTTTCCTCAGGAAATGTTTGCTACAGAATTTTGAAACCCAATGGATTGTAAGAGTGATTGTTCCAAAATTAAATCAGCACTATGACTGTCTTAGTTTAGGTTGCTATTATAAAAATAGCATAAACCGGGTGGCTTCAAAATAACAGAAATTTACTCGTCACTGTTCCGGAGGCTGGGAATTCTGAGATCCAGTCACCAGCACATTTCCTGGTTCACAGACGGCCATCTTCTTGCTGTGTGCTCACATGGCAGAAGGAGCAATGGACCTCTGAATGCCTCTTTTGTGTAGAGGGACACAATACCTTTATTTTATTTATGTATTTTTATGTGGTACTGAGAATGGAGCCCAGTGCCTCACAGATAGGAAAGTGCTCTACCACTGAGCCCCAAACCCAGCCCTGAAGGCTTCTTTTGTATGGGAACCAATCCATGCAGGAGAGCCCCACCCTCATGATCAATCAAGTCCTGAAGTCCTCACCTCCAGATCCCTCACATTGAGGGAAAAGTGCTCAACCTATGAATTTAGGGGGTACGTGAATATTTAGTCCACAGCAGTGACTAAACAAGAAGAAAGCAAAACGTTTTTCTATTTTTCTCTTCAACAGCTTGATAATGAAGTTGAAAAGACAGCAAATCTTGTTATCAGCAACTGGAATCAGCAAATTAAGGCAAGTATCCACAAATAACATTTGTATAACCTTAATTTTTCAATACTGAAGCTTTTCCTTTTTACACAGGCATCATACCATGTTCTAGTGCTGCTAAGTGCTAACTGCAAAGAAAAATATTTCTTCACCTGAATTATTATACAGACATGTCTTTCAACTAAGCCAAAGAAGAACATGGCTGAAAATATGGTTATTCATAAATCACAACAACCCAGTGTAGTATATGACCTTGCCTTGTCCCATTTTACACATGGGAAAATTGAGATGGAGAGCTAAAGTCGTTTTTCCAAGGGTATAAAGCTGGTTAATGGTTGAACCAAGAATTCTTACAAATTCTTGGACTCCAGAGTCACTGCTCTGTCCCATTACACTATACCGATTATCTTCTCTGTTTAATTTGAAACTCAGGGCACATGACAAACATCATCTGAGTTTGAGATTTTCATTGGGAGAAGGGTTTTGGTGATCTTGACCTCATTAGGGTAGTGAATGTCAAGTGAAATGCATATGTCAATTTCACAAGAAGGTATAGTCTGTTTTCTGTGCATAATACTATACTAAGATATGATCCTTGTTTTCAAGCAATTTGAAATTTAGTTGGCTAGATAATATATGCAGTAAATAGTGAATGAATTCTAAGGAGAGGAATACTGAACTGATGTGGGAAGCTGCAGCATACCATTATAGGTTCTTAACAGAGAAAATGGCAGATGGAATCCATATGTACAGATTATTCCAGAATAATCTGGTTAACAGAAGCTCATTTTAACTAGGAAGGATAAGAGACTAAGAAATCTGCTAAGAAAACCCAATGATATCCTTTGAGAGGACTTGTACTTTAAGAGTTTAAATTTTCCTTTTGCATCTCCTAAGTGTTAGTGCCCAGAAGGAACATTTGCAAGTAAACAGTTCCTGGTGCCAAATGACCAGAGATGCCCTAGAAACAGGTGGCCTCATCATTGCTTCTGAAGCTTCTGCTGACTCTGAGGACTCCACAGACTAAGGACATGAATAAGAAATATTTGAGATAAATGAATTTCTATACCCACAGTAATTGTACTGCTCAAACAAAGCTCATAAAAATCACTTTTATAATAAATCTCTAAAGGTCTCAGAAAAAGTATTCAGTCATTTATTTTAAGTTCTGCTTTTGATTTTTCTGAACTCTTTTTAAAAAGATTTGTTTTTATAAACCAATTTTCTTTAAATATTCAGCTTTCACAGGAAATCTAATACAATAGACCAAAAGCCGGAAAAAAAAAAAAAAATCACTCTGAAGCTACAATTGCTTCCAAGAACCAAAAAAAAAAAAAAAAAAAAAAAAAAACTTTTATCATTTCCTAGTTTCTACCAAGTCATTTTGCTCAACAAAATGATTTTATTTTTTCATGAAGAGTAATAGAAATTAGAAAACATAAAATTCTCGAGCTATAATAATTTTCTCTCCAGTTGCAATTCAAGAAACTCAGCATGTCAATAATGAAACAGTCTCTTTTGGAAACTCTAATGACAAGCCTCTTGCTTCATGCTCTCACTCATCAGCAGCCATGTGACTGACAAAGGTGGGGGGAAGTGCTATGGGTTACTTTTCCTTGAATGTCCTTTTGTTGAGCCTTCACATGTTTTAAGAGAGGTAGAAGGCTGTGCCTCTGATTCCAAAGGTGAAACCCAGGTTTCCTCCTTTATTATCCATGTTTGTAGGCCTTGCAATCTTGAGGTAAAAAGCCCAAATAACCTCTCAATTGATCCAGTTCCTGAACAGGTTGACTCCAACTCAACCCAAAATCTGCTTGCTTATTTTCTCTCTGAAGCATCATCTTTCAGCCAAGGTCAACTGTGCAGAAAAAGAAAGGGTCACCGGAATCAGAGCCCATGCCAAGCTTTGATGCATCCACGGGGCAGGAGATATGGAGTGCTTCTTCCTTCCCCACCTCTCCCCTCACTCCCCACCTGCAACAAACACAGGACATTACACAGGATGCCGGGTATCAGACAGCAAGGTTTCCAGCGATGCTTAAACTTTAAATCAACATTTTACAATAATCTAAGCTGTGGCCCAGCTAAGATTCTCAAAAGAACAATGCCGGTGGCCTTCTGCTTTTGTTGTAACTTCATATGGTAAAACCACGCTAGCTAGGACAGTGTTCTGGGCTTTCAGACCTCTCTTGATTGAGCAAAATGTTGAGTGCACCCCATGCAATGACCAAGTGCACAGTGGTTCTCAGAGCAGAGTGTTCCCTGCTGCGGTATTTTAGGTAGATTTTGAGAAGAGGGAGGGAACGAAGAACTAAAATTACACAGTGGTTCAAGCTAGCATTTGAATATGCCTGGTTCAAAACAAAAGAGCTTGGCTCTGGATATTCACTTCTGTTCCTTTTTATCTTGTCTGTATGTTTTTGACTGTAGGCTAAGAAAAAATTAATGGTGAGTACTAAGAAGCATGAAGCACTTTTCCATCTTGTAGAAAGCTCCAAGCAATCCATGACTCAGAAGGAGAAGCAGAAGGTAAGCGGGTGTGGGCGGCTGGGTGCATGTGGCTTGGAGGCAGGTTTCCTGCCCTGAGCTGGGAACACAAGAACTAACTGGTTCCTTCCTCTACTACTCTCTGTAGAGCTGAAGGTTGGCAAGGCATGAGAAAGGTCTCCAAATTATTCTGGGCCCATAAATATTCTTGGAAGATATTACTGACATCACAGATTAGGCCAATAGCTTAATTTTTTTAAATAAAGAACTCTATTAAAGGACAGGGATTATAGCTCAGTGGTAGAGCACTTGCCTCGCGTGCATGAGGCACAGGGTTCGATCTTCAGCACCATATAAAAATAAATAAATAAATAAATAAAGATATTGTGTCCATCTACAATTTAAAAAAAAAAAAGAATCTTATTAGTAGAAGGAAAAAAAACCCTCAGGTCACACTCCAAGTAAGTAAGAAATATATATACTTTATATGTTGGAAAAGATGTATGGTATTTTATATATATTATACTAATATGAACATTATAAGACATAAAGTAGAAACTTGCAGAATGAGACAGATGAAATAATATTTCAGATGATTAGCTAATTGTGATGTCTATATAATCACTAGGTAACAACCATTAAATAAGTGTATAAACAAAATATATATTTTAGGCAAGGTTTAGCCTTAACAATAGTAAGTATTAATTTATCTTTCTACCAGTCCTTTTGATAATTTAAACTTTTAAAAATAATTAAATAATTGGATTTTTTTCATATCTTGCTGGATAAACCAGTTTTTGCTTTTAATGTGGACAATGGCATGCTTATAACCAGGAGGAAAATAAAGTATCAGCTCAGCTGTTTTTGTGGTTTTCCTAGGTAGCAACGTAAGTCTATAGGTTCCTGGGAGAAATATTTCTAAAAGATATTAAGGAATGACATTGATCAAATTATATTATGTTCATGCATAAATGGCATAATGAATTCTACCATAACATATAACTATAATGTACCAATAAAAATAAATTCAAAAAGAAAAAAATATTTTAAAGACAAGTGTGCATTTTTATATGAACCTAATCAAAGATGGATAATAACTCTGCAAATCCACATGATTTAGGCCCATGCCAATGGCCCTTGGCCCAGGACGCTGGAAGTGAAGAAAAGACCCTTGAAAAGGCCATGGCATCTTCTCATGTTGCAGAATCCCTGCTTTTTCTCCAGGCCACTTCAGAATCCACAACTGTTCATATGTAGGCACCAATGTCTAGTCCTGCATTCAATAGGAGCTTGATAATTGTGTTCTTAGGCCAAAATGAAAACAAATGATATTGGGGTGCAGGAATAAAAGCAACTACTTTCTGCCTGCACTCCCTGTAGGTCATCTTGCACACCTCACGTGGTATGTGACCCAGATGAGAAACCTTTGAAATATTCAGCACCTTCTTCAAAAGACAGAATACCCCTAAGGAAATACAGGCAGCATTGCCGCAGTCCCAAACATTCTTAAAAGAAAATTGTCACCGCACGTAGCTCAATCATTTCATCCAAAGAGACTATTAGTTAAATAACTTACATTCATTGTTAGCAAGATTTTACGAGGTTCTTATTTCTTCACATGTCAGTCTTAACAGTTTGAAGTTATAATAAGTGTTGAATAATGAGGCAGCTTCCAAGGAGGCTAACCCACAGTGTGCAAAAATGCTCAGCACCAGGATTTGTCCCAGGCATTCCAAGCCCTCATTAGGAGCTATTCTTTATTGATGTCAAGTAATACAAAGAAAAAAGATTGCACAGTTGAATGCTGAATTTCCTCTTCCTTCCTTATTAGCAGCTTCTCTGGGAGGTGAAAGTCTGCAGTCCTCCCCTGCCTTCCAGCAGCAGGTCCTGCAACCATGACCTTAGCCTGTTCTTACACCACAAGACTCATCCCACCTCCTCTGCTTAATCAGGTGGCTGTTCTCTCGTCCTGTAGTGGGACACCTATGGCAGCATTCATTTCTCATTTCAACAGAAGCATCTGTATCTCCACTTTGAGCGGTAGCTCTGTGCTTCTCAGCAATTCTTGCTGTTTTCCTGCTGAACAGTCCCTGTTCTCACCAGAAGCTGATGGAAGCCTCCATTCTCTTCCCCCCTCCATCCTCACACCCACACACAGCAGATTCTCCTGCTCTCTACCTCGAAGAGTGAACAGACGGCTGCAGAGCCACCTGCCTCCCCCAGAAATAGCATCTGCATATCCCCAGTGGAGAGCCCTGTTCCTCCTGTGTCCTGAGCTCCTGCCATCCTGCCTCTCACACACCCTCTGGTTTCCCCCCATCCCTTGAAGTGCCACCCAGGGATTGCTCCCAAGGCCTCCTCGAGCATCTCAGTCTATCCAGGCTGCTGTAACTCCTCCTCATCACCTAGTGTCCTAAACAACAAACATTTATTTCCTCACACTTTTGGATATTAGAAATCTAAGGTCAGAACGCCAAGCGCCTGGTAGTGCTGGAGAGGGCCTTGTCCCCGGCTGCTGGCTGCAATCCTTTGGTTTCCTCCTCTTTCTACAGGGCAGAAAGAGGGTGAGAGAGACCTTGGGGGTTCCTCTTTTAAGGGCATTAATCTTACTCATGAGGACTCCACCCTCAAGACCTAACCACTGCTTCCTAATGCCCTCACCTAATGCTACCATCTTGGGATTCAAAATTCCAACGTGAATTTGGAGACACACATTCAGCCATTGCACTTCCTGTCCTGGGACAGCAGGAAAAGTCAGAAGCCTTTTCATGACTCTGTTCCTATTCCTCTATTATCCTCTCTCCTTTTTTTACAGTAAGATTTCTTTGAAGGACTGTCTGTGCTCCGTCTCCACTTCCTCATCTCATCATCTTTGTCATTTCTTACACCCTAATCCAGCTTTCCCCACCATTTCACCCACCACTCAGAGTGTTCCTGATGTCCTAAAAAAAAAAAAGAAAGAAAGAAAAAAAAAGAAAAGAAAGAAAACAAAGTCTTCCTTGTTGTGAGAGGCAATGGGTACTTCCCAGTGCTGACCTTACCGAACTTCTTGGAAGCATTAAACATTGCTTATTTTCCCCTTCTAGGAACATTTTCTTCCTTTACCTTGAGCAAAATGTTATTCTTGTTTTTCCTTCTACTTCTGGAAATTTTGTCTTGGGCTCCTTATGCACTTCCTTTTTCCACCCAATCTATGTATATTGCCTTTTCGGAGGTTTTCTCTTACTCTGTTTGAATCTCCATTGTGTCTCCAGTGTCCAATGCAGTACCCTTGAGGTCCTGCAGTCAAATAGACTTTCAAGGATTCACCTACCATATCTATGCTGAAGTACCTAAATTTCTTATCTCCAGCTTAAACCAGTTTACAAACTGCTTTCTGTCACCTCACATTCAACATCTACTGTCAGACCCATCATTTGTCTCTACCAAAGATCCTCCGTATTCCTGTTTTCTAGATGTTTGAATATCACCATCCAGCCATATCCTCCCAATTCTAACACCTAAGCCACCAAATTCTTGAGCTTGTTCACTTCTCTGTGTCTCCCTGCCACTGTTCTTTCCTGACCCACCATCATTGTTAGTCGGGATTCCACTGACTGGCAGAGTGTGCTCTTTGCCTTTTGTGTTGTCTCTTCCTTTCTATCCCGATAGGCAGGTCAAGTTGACTTTTCTGAAACTCAAATCTGATATGCCATTCTCTTCTTTAAAGCCTTCAAAGTCTTTCCAGTAGCCTCAGAATAGAGTCCTCACTCTGTTCTGTGGCCCTTAAGACCATCCCTGACTTGACTGTGGGGACCTGTCAGCATCAGCTCACGAGCACTCTTCTCCCTCCCAGATTGTGTACTCCAGTCTTACCAAAAATTTTGCCTCACCAATTTCTACTTCCATTTTAGGTTTCTTCACATAGGGATCTTTTAAAATTTTTTTTTCAGCGCCTACTATGTGTGTAGCTTAAGTGGTTTCCTAATTCCAAGACTAGTTTAGGTACCTCTCTTGGTGCCCCAGTGACACCTAAGCCCTTCTGTCAAACTGGAGTTCCTAGACCTTAACACACAGGGAGGCACTGGCCTATGTGATCTAGAGAAAGAGCCCATGTTGTTCTCTTTTCTACTCCCAGAGAGAAAGAACCCATGACACATTGTAAACAATCAATAAATGTTCGGTGAATAAATGAATAAGATGTTTTTTCCAAGAGGAAAGAAGAATACTGATAAATTTTAGTAAAGGACATGTCTTAAATAAAAACAGTAGTCTACATTCTTTTTTACATCCATTTGGGGCTCTTTTCTATACATTTGCTATGCAGAAACTTGTGGTCAGTAGTGCCATCATGAAGTGATGAATGTGAGTGGTCATCTCAAAAGGGACTTAGGAGCTAGGGATATAACCCAGTTGGTAGAGTGCTTGCCTCACATGCACAAGGCCTTGGGTTCAATCCCTAGCAACGTGCGCGCGTGCACACACACACACACACACACACACAAAATCAAAAGCAACTTAGTTCTCACTGCAGGGTGTCTGAGCATTCTCCATAAGAATCTAAGGACAATGATTTAGCAAAGTACAGCCCTGGTACTCTTTGGGCTCTTTCGCTATATTATTATCAGGTTAAAACTCACAAGCCATGTTTCTCAATAGATGTGGTTCATTACACTTAAAATACATATGTCCTTGTAGGTCATACATCACAGCTAGCATATCAATTGGAATAATAAAGTGAGTGGTATTAATATTCAGCATTTTGGATGGATGTTCTTCATTATTGTGACATTAGTCAAAATGTCCTTAAACATAAAGAGGGTCGTTCTTAAAGCCTTTGTTTCTGTCCTTGAAATTCCTACACTGCTAAAATCAGGGAAGTTCTTGCTATTCTTTAAAGTGTGGTTTGAGGACTGTTTGCATGAGAATCATCTGAGGAGGGAGTGAAGATTCTGATTTCCAAGTTCCAGCTTCTGCATCCGTATTGCTCCATGTGGGGCCCTGGAAGTTGCCATTTTACAAGCATGCCATGTTGTTCTAGGCATGCTAAAGTTTAAAAATCATTCATGTAATCAACTTGCTCATTTCTCAGAGATATGAAATTGCTTGTCTGGACATTTTGATCATCAAATTTAATTACTGTGGTTCTGGAAGTTCTGTGTTACTTCAATGTACCAGAAGACGTAACAATAAAAATGGCAAATATTGGCAGGAGGGAACTCTTTGGGAAGCAATGTGAGAGGATACCATCTATCAAGGTGTCCCTAACTGGCAGTGAACATGGGGCCTGTACCTCAGGCTTTTCATTAGTAATAATTGCAGTCACTGGTGTTTTGAGTGCTCTGCTAGGTGTTGTGTGCCTTACAATGCATTACCCATGAGTCCTCAAAGCAGCCCAGCAAAACAGGAATTATCATCATCCCCATCAGAGAACGTGAAAATCGTGGCTTATGAAGACTAAGTAACTTCTCCTAGCCAGAACCAGGACTCTAATTCTGGAAGTCTGACTCCCAATGTCCACTGCTGGCTTCAAGATAGTCAGACAGGATGATAGCCAGCTCTATTCTAAAAATTATATAATTCCACAAGTCTCTACCTGTCTTGGTAAGAAATTCAAGGACCTAAAAGATTTACCAGATGAAACAATAGGATTTATTGGTAGATTGCACTTGTAAATTGGAGATCCTTGACCCGCATTGCTGATTTTCAAATGCACTGTCATTTGGCCTTTTCTTTGATTTGATAAATGCAAGCAAATCATTTCATATATAAAGCCTCAATTTCTTCATGTGTAAAATTGAGGGTTTCATACTGAAAAGACCTTTTAGGTTTCCTTCTGGTTCTGCCATCTGTTTATTCTGGGAAAATATATTTGGTGTTGTCATTTATAGTTATTTTTTATAACTGAAATATATCATTAGGCCACATGTAATTCTTTTTTGGAATTACAAAGAGCTTTCATACTAGTGTTAATTAATATATGACAATGTTTTTTGCTTTAGCTTCTCAATAAACTGAAAAAATCAACTGAAAAGCTGGAAAAGGAAGATGAAAATTACTACCAAAAAAACATGGCAGGCTATTCTACTAGACTGAAGTGGGAAAATACACTAGAAAACTGCTACAAGGTATGTTGTTCATTCACATTTTTCTTCTTCCATGGAGCTTTGTGTGACCTTGGAAATGAAGGTCAGCCTGACAGTTAAAAAACCCTATTTCGGTCTTAGCTCTGGTTCTCATGTGACCTTAGACAAACCACATTGCCTCTCATTGTTTCCATTTCTTCATGGATAGAAGTACCAATAAACATTTATTGAGTATTATTACCCAGAGTTTCAGCTCCTAATTCTCAAGGGTCACAACAGCATTCAGCTAACTTTAAAAAGTTCTGTTAAATAAAAACGTAACTTGAGGCTTCAATATTAGGTATTCTGAATTGAGTTTTAAGGCATGAGAGCTGACCCATACAGTGATCACTTATGGAGTTTCCTTGTATGTTAGAAATTGCATGGGACTCTGGAAATATATAACAATGAATGAAGTACTATCCTAACACTTTAAATATGCACCTTTGGGCCGGGCATTGTGGTGCATGCCTGTAATACCAGAGGTTCTAGAGGCTGAGGCAGGAGGATTGCAAATTCAAGATCAGCCTCAGCAATTTAATAAGACCCTGTTTCAAAATAAAAAATAAAAAGGACTGGGGATGTAGATTAGTGCCCCTCATTCTAAACCCCAGAACAAGGGAAAGAAATGCACCCTAGTGGTACAGACAGAGACATAAGGATGAATTGTGAGGGCTGGGGTTGTGGCTCAGTGATAGAATACTTGCCTAGCATGCATGAGACACTGGATTTGATTCTCAGCCCTGCATGTAAATAAATAAATAAAAAGAAAGGTCCTCAACAACTAAAGAAAAAATTTTAAAAAGAATGAATTGTGACAAATTGTCCAACAAAAATTAATAAAAGATATCAACAAGAGAGTCACAAAATGGGAAATCAAAATCACCATTAAACATATGAAGAGATGCTCAATCAAAATCACAAAATTAGGAAGTATAAATATCAAGTATTAACAAGGAGGTTAGAAGATAGTGTATGTAATTAATGGTCTCTACTAACATTGAAATGTACACATACTCACAATACAGCAGTTCCCCTTTGGGGCATATATCCTGAAGACACATTTACATTCAAGAATAATGCATGAGTATGTTTATTACAGAATTGTCTATAATCACATGGTGAGAAAAAGATTGTACACAATTTTTATTACCCACCAATAGAGCAGTCTTAAATGTGCTCTAAGTTGGAAGTAGATGAATACTCAGCAATAAAAAGTTAATTAAAACTATATTTAAATATGAATTAACCTAAAACATTATGTTGAAGAAAAGAAATGTACCATTTATACAATCTGTAAATTTTTTAAAATTCTTGAACTCACACCCACACTGTACTGTTTATATGTGGTATGTTCGTAAACATATACACATTGACTGAATCTTTATGTGGTGGGGCAGGCAACTAGAGCTCATGGAGGATGGCCACACATAGCCACATAGCTTGTGGATGGCCCAGGATTGAAACCCTCTTCAAACTCTATATATGAGTAGCTTAGCTCTCGATTTTTCAAGTCAATGTAAATGTGACCAAATTAAATAATTATCAATCTGATAAGAACATGAATATTTTTGTTTTATATTTCCTCCATGTGTTTAAAATTTTTTAAAAATGTTTAAAGCAATTGCAGTTTGAAGAAGTGACCTACTGGCAAGTGTCTGGTGCTCAGCATGGGCGTGCGTTTTGCTATGTGCTTCTGTGTGCATCCTATTTTGTAGCCATCACAACAAGTGAGGACCATAATTTTATTCCCAGTTTATAGTTGAGGAAAGTGAGGCTGGAGAAATGAAGTAACCTGCACAAGATGGTTTGGGGATTCAACATAGGCCTCTAAACTATGCTTCTACCCCAGTAAGAACTGGGAGAGGGAAGGATATAGGTTAGCAGAAACCGATGGGCTGTGTTTAAATCTTGCACATTTCAACCACCTTCAAGTTAAAAGACAAAGGAGGAAGTGAGGGAGAGATGAAAACTTGGCCCAAGCCGGGCATGGTGATGCATGCCTGTAATACCAGCAGCTAGGGAGGCTGAGACAGGAGCATCACAAGTTCAAAGCCAGCCTCAGCAACAGCAAGGCACTAAGCAACTCAGAAAGACCCTGTCTTTAAATAAAATATAAAATAGGGCTGGGCATGTGGCTAAGTGGTTGAGTGCTCCTGAGTTCAATCCCCCCCCCCCAAAAAAAAAAAACTTGGCCCAAAGATGGGAAGAAATGAGAAGAAACAGGATCCTGGCTGCCGTTGCTTATGCTGAGCAGGCTATAGGTGCAGATGATGAGGAAGGGCCAGGCATCTCAAGCCTACCTACCTACTGAAGTCTGGCTCTCCAGCCTGGACTCTCCCCTCCCAAGAATTCCAAGACTTCCCAGTGAATATGGAGCTTCCACAAAGTCAGCTTCCTCTGACAGCTCTGTTAGGAGAGAAATTGCATCTCCCACTCCATCTTCCAGGCACTCTTCAAGGGCTATGAGAAAAAATCTGTAAGCTCAGCATCTCCATCTTCCCCTGGCTTCTACCCATGTCACTGCAGTGAGCCACAGTAATGGTTCTCAACGGGTTGAGTGGGCCTTTGAACTGTGTCAGGTATCCCTGGTACTAGCTTCATCATCCAAGGCTCTCACTATATCTTCCTTACCTCAGTTTCCTTGACTCCTATTAAAATTCTCCTACTCTCCCCTTACATCTCTTCAGCAATCCTTATTTTTATATTGAAGCATTATGGAAATTATCTTCTCTTCTTACAAAGTCATCCTGATATACATTCATTTACTTTTCAAAAAGCCTGCTGAAGTTGAAGAACTTGAGCTTGTTTGTTGTTATGGTTGTTTTGTTGGAATCCAGATCAGGTGGAATAGCTCCTGAAAGTCATAATCTCCTTAAGGAAGAGCAGGACGTTTTTCATGCTTCTTGTGTCCCAGACTTTTGTGGCTGCTGTGCTGGAGGTCGTCAGTATCACACTCCCTCTCCCGTTGGTTGACACAGCTCCTCTCACTCGCCTTCCCTTGAGCTCCCTTCTGTCTCCCGAGTGCCAGCCCACAGCCACCGGACCCAACTGGAGTCCACCTCTGTCAAGTCATCCTTGTTCCATCTAACCCCAATAATGCTGCCTTGACTTTGCATTTCCTTGACTTACGCCCACTCAACCTTTACCAACATGTCATTGACTCACCTACCTTACTCTATGTCTTCTATATCTTTTGTATATTTCCAAACTCAAGAGTAAAATGTTAGATTCCTAGAGAGATGAAGTAATCTGCCCAAGATGGTTTGAGAATTCAACATATAAAGACAGGCTGAATTCATTAAAGGAGAATTTCATTAAAAGTGCAAGTGATAGAAATGGGACAATTAGGGCCTTTCAATTCTGTTTATTTATTTATTTATTTATTGGTCTTCTTTCCCTCACCATTCTTCTGTAAAAGTTGGATATAAGAATTCAATTTAGAGTCCTAGCAAGTATCCTATTACTTCTTGCTCTGAGTTTGTTTTGGAAATTTTTTTCAGAGAAAACTTATTAAACTCTGTTCAAGGAAGTTTACTCGATGTTTTAGTCAGCTTTTTTGCTGCTGTGACTAAAGGACCTGGCCAGAACAACTGTAGAGGAGGAAAAGTTAATTTGAGGGCTCAGGGTTTCAGAGGTCTTAGTCCATAGAAGACCAGCTCCATTCCTCAGGGCTCAAAGTGAGTCAGAACAACAAGGTAGAAGAATGCGGCAGAGAGAAGCAGCTCACATGATGATCAGAAGCAGAGAGAGAGACTCCACTTGCCAGATACAAATATATACCCCATAGGCATGTCCCCCAAAGAACCACTTCCTCCAGCCACACCTCACCTACCTCCAGAACAGACTTCTCCCCTAAGGAAGGGAAACCAAACGCAGAATCCATGGAATGAGGAAGTCCCATCCCTTTGATATATCTAAAGTTTTCTTTGTTCTTTTGCATTCTTCTCCCTTTCTTGTTCATTTCCCCTCATCCTGTATACGTGATCAGAGACAGGTGGGAAGGCCAAAAGTTGGGAAACAGGTGGGCTGGAGGGGCCAGGGTGGAGTGATCTGGGCAGGAAGCCGGTGGGGGCCAGGGCAAATTAATTAGCAGTTCCCTGTCAGCTCTGGAGTTGCTTCATTAACAGCTCTTTAGGAGGGGCAGTATAGGAAGGGCTCTGGGGAACCTTAACATTTCAATCTCACAAGGTGCAGACTACGCTTTCGGGGACCTTCAGGGACCCAAACCCGTCTGTTTTCTTCAATCTAGCCTGATTTATCTATCTACACTGACTGCCTATTTTAAATTCTGGCTTCATTAGAGCTTAATTTCCTCCTAGGACCCCTGTTGGAAAAGGTGATTTCCTTTCTACAGATCTGTCTTAAGGAAGTAGCTGAAAACAACACCGGGATTTCTATTCAAAAAAAGGAGATGGGAGGATGTAGCTCAGTGGTAAGAGTTCTGAGAGGTCCTGGGTTCTATCCCAGCACTCAAAAAAAAAAAAAAAAAAAAAAAGTAAACAGAGGGAAACAACCCAAGTAACCAACATTAAAGGGGTGACTAAATGAATCATATACCTACAATAGACTATTATAAAGTAATCATCTTCAGAGATGAATGGTGTGAGAAATTGCTCATGTGTGAGGTTAAGTGAAAAAAACTAGGATATCAGATTTGGATAATTTGGTAGAAAATTAGAAAATAAAATCATGCACACATACCTAGACTGAAATTCATTAGAATGTCAGTAGTGGTCATTCTGGGTGGAAGAATAATGAATGACTTTAAAGGTATTTCTGTGTGCCCCTTTGTGGCCCTATGATATCTCCAAGCAGCTGGGAATTTGTTAAAATTCAGATTCCTGAGCACCTTCTCAGAGGAATCAGAATCTCTGAGGGATTCTCTGAGTGACGTCTAGGCATTCTGAAGTTTGAGAGTCCTTGCTCTAGAAAGAGAATGATATTTCTTTCATTAGTTTTATGAAAGCAATTTAAATGAAAACACAGTCCCCTCAAGCTCCTCTGTTGGAGTGACAGGAACTGAAAAGAGTGACTGAAGAGGGTGAATTATCATGATGCCTGAGCCGCAGACAGGCCCTAAATCTACTGTGTCTTGACAACTCTCTGACTACACTTTCTTCAAATGTGCCACTGTGAAAACACAAGAGGACAGCCAGAGGTCCTCCAGGGTGTCATGTCTCTGGATTGCCCATTTTATACAAAAGAACAAGATAATGGGAAGCAATAATTCATTAAATGAGATATGGATTTCTCCTTTCCACATAGAATTTATTTCCACCTCTTTTTATGAGCAAGCATAGATCACTCTAATGATTTCCTTGAAATGTAATTAAAATCTGTTAAACATTACCATCTCTGCCAAAGAACACCAGTTATTCTAGCCTCAGACTGATGCCAATGGTTCAGCATTTATTAAAGAAACCGCTGCCATCAGGGACAGTCTTTATTTATTTTTTTTCCCCTAGTCCTTTGCGCATAGTGCTAAACTGAAACATCAGGTTTCTGCATCTTTTTTTGATGGCAGAAGGACTTTTTTTTTTCTTCTTTGAAGATTGTCCCACCTGAGATCCAATCAAAGGAGCAGAATTTGTTGTACACATTTGTTATGAGGCACATCAATTCTGACCTTTGAAGAAGCAGTATATTTGATGAGTTGCTGTGTTTTTAATCCTTTATCCAGGAGACAGAAAGGCAAATGGTCACATTCAAATGACAGGGACCAGCAGTTTTGGAGAGAGACTCAGGAAATCAATAACATTCCACTTAGAAAGATGGTGTGGCTTTTGACACAGCTGAGAAAGTGGCCTCTGGGTCACAGATCTAGGCTTCTGATAAAATGTCAGGACTTTGGGCACAAGATCTAAATGTCTATGTGATGGGTGTAGATGTTCATGATTATTGACTGAGCCTTTTACCACTTGCTTTTAAAAGAAGGGCTAAAGATGACTTTACGCTAATAAAATATAGCATGGATTTACATGGGAATTTCATCTGATCTTAAAAAGGAAGAAAATGCTACAATGTGGACAAACTTCACAAAAGGACAAATATTATATGATTCCTCTTATTTGAGATGCTACAGGAGTCAAATTTATAGAGACAGAAAATGGAATGATGGTTGCCAGGGCTGGGGAAAGAAGGGAAATAGTTGATTTTTTATGGGTACAGAGGTTCAGTTTTTGTTTGTTTGTTTTGTGGGTTTTTTTTTTTTGATACCAAAACCCAGAGGCACTTAACCACTAAGCCATATCCTTAGCCCATTTTTATTTTTTATTTTGAGACAAGGTCTCACTAAGTTGCTTAGGGCCTCACTAAATTGCTGTGGCCGACTTTGAACTTGTGATCCTCCAGCCTCAGCCTCTAGAGCTGCTGGGATTACAGGTGTGCACCAGAGGTTCAGTTTTACGAGAAGAAAAAGGTTCTGGAAATGGATGCTGGGGGTGGTTACATAATAATGGCACTGAACTGGATGCTTAAAAATGGTTAAAATGGTACATCTTATGTTATATACATTTTACTATAATTTTAAAAAATAAATTAGAATTAAAAGTTTGGATTACTTAATACAATAGATGAAGTAACAGTGCAAGGATGCAGAAGAGCACAATACTGGATCAGGCATGCAGGGCCAGGCAGGATGGGGAATTCAGGGATCTCTGGACTCTCTCCAGCCCCACCTCTATACCAATGGCCAGGAAAGATAGTCATCTCTTCTCAATGGTAGGATACCTGCTAATTTCCCCAAAGCCTTCCTCATGAAAGGTTTTTGCCAAGTACAAGTACTTTGTCAGTATAGGAGATGGGATAGCAGCTATGAAAGCAAATCCGGCCTTCTCTAGATAAAAGAATGAATATGTGACCCTCCGTTCTTATAAAAACAGAATGGGGAGAATTTTGTCTTGGTCCCTTGCCATCTCCATCAAGGCTCAGATTTCTCTGGGCCTGTACCCAGCAGCCTCACTGCCCCTACATGATCCACAAATCTCCCCAGCATACTCCACCTAGTTGTTGAACTTCTCCACCATCTCTAAAAAACACCAGTCATCAACTTGAGTGGCCAGAGTCTAATAGCTAACTTGGTCAAAAATGTGAATAGGTAATGAGGCAAGAGTGATGTCCTTTGCTTCCTTGTTGACACTTCTGAGCCAAAAGTCATGACCCTCCAGTTGTGGAATTTTTGTCATTCCACACACTCCCACCTCATGCAATAGTCTCTGACCCCAGGGCCTAATTTTGGGCCAAGATTGTGAATCGATCAGTCTTTCAGATCCTGCTCTTGTCAGATAGTCTCCTTAAACAGAGAATGTGCCTCGTCATCTTTGCACCTACAGAGACTAGCAGAATGCTCTGTGTCTACCATGAGTGATCCGGAAAGTATTTATTGTCTAAATGTGTTTCTACATGGGTTTTACTGAGCTTCACTCTTCTCTAGAAATCAGAGGTGCTTCTTTAGTACTTTCTTTGCTTTTTCTGCATTCTTGTGAACATGGGTTACCCCATAGCATTTTCCTATACACCTTCAGGGGCAAAAGATCCCACAGAAAGCTTATGAGTTAAAGCCATCTTAAAGGAAGAAAATAGGACAGACACCAACTCATATTCTCTCCTGGAAACCTCCCTTCATTGCTGTTTGGATATGACGTAGTAAAAAGGCAAATCGTGGCAGTATGCTCAGACTGTCCTCAGGTGTGTTGGTGATTGATGGGTGACTTCAGTTTTGCATACCAAATGATCACTCTTACCTCATTTTCCATCCCCTTCAGAGCATCCTGGACCTGGAGAAGGAAAGAACTCAACTTCTATGCAATAACTTAAACCAGTACAGCCAGCATATTTCTCTTTTTGGCCAAACCCTGACCACAGTGAGTAGTGAAGGTTTCTCCATGTTTGGCATGCAGGGTAAAAAAAAAAAAAAAATTGGCAGGCAACATTTCTTCAACAACCTTGTTCTGCTTTCCTTGGCTCTGCAGTGCCACACACAGATTCACTGTGCCATCAACAAGATTGATGTCGAAAAAGAAATCCAAGCGCTAATAGAAGAAACTGCAAATTTATCTACAGAAAACAAATCTGAATTCCTACTGACCGATTACTTTGTAAGTATGACCAACAGGAAGTTACCTTGGGGAAGGGGCTTCATTATACATTGAAAAACGCATTTCAAAAAAAATTGAAAATAGCTATAAATGAAATGTGGTTAAGTAAAAATGTTTTATTTGTATTGTCTACAAAAATAAAATATATACAATGTGTGGTTTACAAACTGGGCAGTGGTATTCTCTGGAAGGAAAGAAGGTCTTGCTGGGTTTTAGAATCTTCCAGTTTAGACTTTGTCTTCATCTGTTTTATGCTGCTGTTGCAGAATACAACAGACTGAGTAATCTATAAAGAATAGAAGTTTACTGGGCTTGTGGTTTTGGAGCTGTGAAGTCCCAGATAACAAGGTTACATGTGGGAAGGGTCTTCTTGCTGCATCATAATGTGGCAAAAGGTGTCACATGGGTAAAAGAGCAAGAGAGGGCCAAACTTTCTTTAATAAGAAAACTATTCCCATAATAAGGGAGTCCCCTGATGGCCTGATCACATCTTAAGGACCCACCTCTCAACACTCAACACTGTTGTACTGGGTGTTAAACTTCCAACACTTGAACTTTGGAGGACATTGAAATCAAAGTAGTCTTCTAGAAAAGCAATACCAGGCAGATGTGTTTCGTGATCTAGGAATATCATATTGTGCCTGTCCTATGTCAAATCACTATGAGCACATTACCTCCAAACATAATGACTTAAAACATTATCTGAGTTTATATGGGTCAGGAACCCATGCTCAGCTTAGCTGGGTCCCCAGAGTCCCTCATGAGGCAGCAGTGGAGGTGCCAACCAGGACTACTAATGGGTCATCTCAAGGCTCCACTGAGAGAGGACCCATCTTCAACTTTACTCAAGTGGCTGTTGGCAGCCTCTGGTCCTCGCTGGCTGGGAGTAGGAGGCACCATTTCCTTTCCATGTGGGTTTCTCCACATCTCACTGCATGGCAACCTGATTCTCCCTGAATGAGTGACCAAGAGAGACATAGCCAGAGTGCCCCCAAAGGAATCAGGGTGTGCCGTGAGCTGAGCTCAGAAGTGGGGGGTATTGGAAGTCAGAAAACTAAGTCTCCATTCAAGGGGAGGAGACGACACAAAAGCACAAATCCTAGAAGGTGGGGATCACTATCAACATTGCTTATGGTCCTTTCCCTTGAAAAACTTGGACTAAATTTTGAGAGTATTTGGGTGATTCCTCTATGGAATGACCTTTCATGCTGGAAACTGATCATTGTCTCTAGTCAGAGCCCAGGCATCTTGTCTCTGCTCTTTTGGTTAATTCTTTGTCCTCTTGGGTCATGCCTCAAAGATTTGGGCCTCTGCTTGCCTCTTTTTAGTCATAATTGTGATGTTCTATAAGATTTTCTTTTGAGAGGGGAAAAATTTTTTTTTCTTCTTTCCTTTCTAGTTTTTTCTTTCCAGCCCGGTTTAGAATTCTATCCCTCTCTAATCTATTGACAGTCCACTGGTCATATCCTCCTCTTAGATTAAATGCATAGCTGAAGCCAACAACCCTGACCCCTGCTCAGGGAACAAGAGATGAGGAGAGAAGGGAGAGGCAGAGGTGGAGTGAGCAGTGGATGCTGACAGGTCCCCTTCCCCATTCTCCAAACAGCAACAAGGAGCCAGTTATTTCCTTGAGCGAGTCTTTTTTCATACCTTGGCAAAAGTGAACTATGTTAGCAACAGCAATGTCTGTTTGAAGCAGACACCAAGGTAAAGGAGGGAGTTGGAAAGGGAGTTTGATTGCAAGAGGAAGATTAACTAGCCTGTCAACAGAATAAGTGCCATTCTTCTTGGAATTAACCTAGGGTTCTACTGAAAGGCAAGGCTATCGATATGATGATTTATCTTTAATTCATGTTCATGGAATTTTTTTATTTGTTGTCTATGAAGCTTTGATGCACCAAAACTCACAACCACATATCTCAGTTGAAAAGAAAAGACTGTCTCAAAATGAGTGAATAGAATTTTCTTGATATCCTAACATCAAAGCACCCCAATGTCTATACTCCTTGGCACCCAGTGTAGACTGACTTTTATTTAGTGCTCCAAAGTTTACATGGACCAGAGCAAGGCAGGAGAACAATCTGACTTCAAAAATGTGAAAATATTTATAAGCCTACTGTAATGTCATGTTCAAAAGATGGTATCTGTGGTTTTATATGCCTCCTCCAGTACTGATCATCTTTCTAACAAATCTTTGACAAAGAAGAACACAGTTAAGGAAGTTAAACAATATCAATATGCACGCCCTCCCCTCCTTTTAAAGTTAATCTGGAACAAATTCAGCCCTGAAAATACCTGCTTAAATAATAGATGTTCCCAGACAAAGAAAGTCTTGAACTGGCACAGGAGCTAGATTATGATTGGCATTCTTCCAGCAAGGAGGGACTTCCAGCAACGGTTGGAGTTAGGTGTCCTATCAGCTTAGCCACAGCTCACCTGAGAGTGTGACCTCAGCCAGGTCTCAGCTCTTGGCAGATGTGTAAAGGTGAGGTAGAGAACCTGGGGTCACAGTAATTCAGTAGTTGTGTTTTAGGAATGAATACTTTTGTTTCAGCTTGGACCTCCTTTCCTCTGTGTCATAGTCAAAGTGTGGAGGACAAAACCAACCTCATATAGTAGTTGTAAGCATTGTATGCAGCACAGATTATAGAGAAACTTTTATAATGCATAATATGTAAATAAAGCATTTCAGTCATGTTATGACATTGTTACAAAGGCTACTCCGTTTGTCCCCCATCCTCAAGCTCCTTTCTACACTATGAGTCACCCGAAGCTCATCTCTCCACCGGTACTCAGGATCCTAGTTCTCCTCCTTCCTTATCAGAGAAGCCTGCCTCCTCCCCTGTTCTTTCTCCACAGGTTTCTGTCCACTCACATTGAGTCACCTCCCCATCCCACCATCCTAATATTTTTTTTTTTTGTTATTTAAGCCTTGAGATAATCCAGTGAAAGCTCAGAAATCATTAGTAGTCCCTCATAACCTATGGGATAAAAATCTCTGCTTCTGCCTTAAAATCTGGCCTAGCTTGCACTTTTTCTTCCCCTAGTTTTTTGCTCAAGCAACTGTTCTACTTGTTCCTAAAGCATTCTGCACAGAGTCCCCCCTTTGTCCTTTGCATGTCCCTGGAGTGCCCTTTGTCCTCCTTTCACTTTACTGAAAAGTCCTAGTCAGTCAGGTCTTCCAGCCCCCTGGAAGTTTTTGACTGTCTCCCCTCTTGCTGCCTGCACCATTCATGGATGTCTGTGACACATTGCTAGTTCTCGTAATGTCATGCTTCAAGGCCTAATTAGATGATAAACCCATTTGGGGCCAGAGCATGGAATTTCACAAGTGTAGAACCCAGTTCACATCCTAGCCTGAAGCCATCCTAGCCTGAGGATTAAACATGATATTTGAACCATCAAAGGACTCTAACTTGAACAATAAATATCCAACAAATAGATTTATTGATCAAGAAAGTCAAATAAGTAAAGTAAGTCTCCTCCTCCAAGAATAACTTGTTCTGCTATAGAAAAAGCTCAGCTGTGTACTTACAAGCTGTAAGTACAAGACGTTTTCTTATTAATCAGGTCTAGAGCAGGTAGAACAATGTGTGCAAACTAAAGATTATCCTGATTTTCTTTTTCCCTTTTTTCTTCTGCAAAGTTAAAATTAAATGGAGCCAGTGAAAGTTTCATTAAAAACTAGGAGTAGGAACTCTTACCTTTTTCCCCTTAGGTTGTTGAACATCTTTTTTCTTTCCCTGAAGGAAGAAGACCCTAACAATGCAATGGATAAAGAGAGACGAAAGTCTTTAATAAAACCGAAATTGTTGAGACTGCAGAAAGACATTGAAAAAGCCTCCAGAGACAGGGAAGGTGTGTGATTATCTCTTCAAATGGTCCATAAAGGAAAAATATCATACCCAGAGTTTTTAATTCCAAGTTAGGATTAATCTGCTTTTGCTGACTGGGCCAGGGGTCATCTCATTTGAAGAACCACACATCAAACCTAAGTCGTATGAATAAAGAAAAAGTTAAAAAAAGACAAGAGAAAGCAAAAAGTGTAAAATAACATTCTGGCCTATTTAGGAGAGCTAAATAAGTACTATACTATCACTTCTAGAAATATAGCATTTTACTGTGTTTTGGAAATTGGCTGGAATGAGAGACAATTTGTGCGATTTTAAAAATATGTTAAACCTGCCATGCAGAATTTTTGCTCTGTTTCTTTCTTTTTACAACTTTCGAAATAAGGTGAAAAATCATTCAAATTCAACCTTGTCCTTAGCAATTAGGAATGTTAGAAAGAGAAGCAGTTCTAATGCAATGCAGATGGTGAAAACAGCTGCATACTTGCAATTCTAATATGTCCAGCTTGTTTTACACGGATCTCAATAACTCATTGCAATGTAATGCAGATAGGAAATCCAAGACAGAAAACGTTTAGTGATGTAAACAGAATACTGTGGAAGAGCCTAACATTATGTAAATGTTAGAAATTACTGGAATGGGCCTACGAAAAGGAATTCAAAATCTCATCTTGTAAACTAACAATCAAGATATTTAAAGCACCTGTAATTATCAAATTTCATTAAATGAAGGTAAGTGAACAATTCATTTGTCATTCACTAATAACAACTATAACAGGAACTGCCCCAGCCAGTGAGGAAATACTATTTCTAGGTTTAGAACCCCTTTGAGGGGGACTGGCTCTCAGCTGTGTCCCACCAAACAGGATGAATGGTGACCAAAAGTGACCAAAAATATTGTTTCATTCTCAGGCCTGGAGCGAATGCTTACTGTGTACTCCAGCAGCTCCTCCTTCTCGGATGCAAAGAGCCAGAAAGACACAGCTGCGTTAATGGATGAGGTAAATATTTGCACAGTGCATCTAGTGATGAAAGGGTTATTTTTAAAATACTTGTTTTCCAGCCCATGTGTGCCTTTCCTTTCTTGGGACAGAACATTATAGTCAAGCTTATTGGGCCAGTCCCTTTATAGGTAGTGGAAGGGATCTGGAAAAATCCACCTACTTAAAAATGTTTGCTTTGGTATCTTCTAAAAGAAGGACACTGG